GTTATGTAATTAGTGAAACGTCCAGAAGCTTCCGAATCGAGTAAATCAGTGGGAACGGCGAAGCGAGAATGTGCAGTGCGAGCATTCATAGCATTACTCACCGGAGTGAGCGAGACCATCCTCCTCTCCCCTCGCTCCTTCAGGGAAGAGCCCACCGTGACTGAGACTTCCAGGCAAGCCACTTTGAACTCTTGCAGCCGATACACGATAGTTCACTGATGCTCTTCAACAAAATATAAATAATAACCGAGGCATTTTGGTTATTTCTGTCCTTGTAATATTCCAAGCTCTTGACTTGTAGTCAAAAAACGGTCGCGCACTTTAACGGTGACGTCGGAGAGCGTTTCTTTCATCCGATTGGTTAATTCTGCTCTCGAACGTCATCAAATACCACCGCCCACACCGTCACCCTGGCGACGGGAATAAACACTTTTGAGATTAGAGATCTTGGTGCGTTTTAAACCGCATAAACACATTTCATTACACCAAATATACAAAATAAATGTTCTTTTTATCAGCATCATATGACCCCTTTAAAGGGATAGATTATACACCAAAGAAGAAAAAAAAATCTGTATAATTTTACTCACGTTGCTCCAAACCTGTTTGACTTTCTTTCTCACATGGAACACAAAAGGAAATGTTAGGCAGAATGATGTACACATATTATATATTCATATTTTATGAAACAATGCTAAGCAGAAATATGCTAGAGTGTGGAACTAAAAGCAAAATCACTTTAAAGGGGTCATATGATGCGATTTCAAGTTTTCCTTTCTCTTTGGAGTGTTACAAGCTCTTGGTGCATAAAGAAGATCTGTAAAGTTGCAAAGACTAAAGTCTCAAATCCAAAGAGATATTCTTTATAAAATTTAAGAATCAGCTACGCCTACCTAAAACGGCTGGTTCTAACACGCCCCGACATGTCTACGTCAATATGTGGAAATATTAGCATAATGCCGCCCAAATGTGCACGCAAAGAAAGAAGGCATGGTTTCAGGAACAGCAGTAGTACTGATGCAGCCATGTCAGGGAGACGGTGTGTTTCAGTGCGAAAGCAAAAGCACTTTATTTGGCCTTAGATGCAAAGAATCATTGGTTAAGGTTTATTTACAACAGAACAGCACAACCCAGATGTTCGAATTTGTACAAGGCATTTTATGGACGACAGTTTTTTGAACCTAGAAGAGTACAAGGCTGGCTGTGCAAAGGCTATTTCTAAAAAAAAAAAGGTCAATTCCGACTTTGCTATGACAATCTGGCTCTTCTGAATCAGCGACTGTACGTATGTTTTGTTACTAGTTTAAGTATTTGCTATTGACTGTTCAAATGCAGAGTTTTGCGGAGCGCGGAGTAACGCATCGTGTGTGTGTGTGTGAGGGGAACAGGGTCACATCACAGGAGAGTGAACTGCCTGTCAAATAGCACGTCAGCTGTTTTAACCACGGCTTGTGATGTTCGGCCAATCACAATGCACTGGTTCAGCTGGCCAATCAGAGCAGACTGCACTTGTCAAAGGAGGGGGTTTTGTTGAAAACGACTTGTTTGAGAGAGGCGGGGCAGAGAGGACCTACAATAATGTACAGTATTTGAAACATGTGTTTTTTTTTTAACATTAAAGCACGTCAACATATTCTGTTACACCAAATACACAAAATAATGATCTTTAAAATAGCATCATATGACCCCCTTTAAACATATTCGGGGGAAAAATGGCCATGACAGCAATGTTGTTAACTAAAACCATTAACCGATTTAGTTAACTCAAATAAAATGAAACATATGAAAAACTTTTTTTTTAAATTAAGTACTAATATTACTTTAAGTAAAAATAAGGCTAAATATATAATATTTAGAATCTATAAAATATATAATTATAATAAAAATAAAATGTTATAAAATAAATGTTATTTCAAAAATCAATAAATAATATAAAAAATACTATATTAACACTATAATGACAGTCAGTAAAAGACAAGTTTATTTTTCCTTAGCCTTTGACCCAGTCTATTCAACTTTCAAACATAGATACATTATTGTGCACATATGCTGGCAAATCAATGGTATAACACAGTCAAATCTGATTTTAAAATTGTAACACATTAATGGTGTGACTGTGTGCAGCTCAACTTGCAGTATGTAAGTGTTTATTACAATAACAGGCCTAATGCATCCATTAGATAAATGACTCTCTGGAATTATCATCCCTTTGATGCTTAACAGCCTTTTACACACCCTTTACAAATTAACTTTAACCGAAGAATAAGAACTGCAAATGTACAACAGATAATGCTTACTGAGAAACAATTCTACGCATAATATCCTAACAAAAATCAGGATATAAACAATAGTGTACTGTGAGTCACAATGATTGAAAAATGTCTGCTAAATAAATTTCACGTGGTAAACATTGTCTTTAGTGGTACAGTGGTAAATTGAACTTTTGTCTTCACACTTCATATGCGCCAGTCACAGTTTAAGTGGCATTACCTTCAAGGTCGCAAAATTGGAATATCAATAATGCATACATATAGGAAAAAAACCAAATTAATTATGCAAATGCAAAACCCTAATATCAATAGCATGTCCTGTGTGGGCACAGAACATCAAATATCAATCCTCTAAAAGGGAAAACTCTGGAGAAAAAAAACAGTACTTCATTCTGCTTTAATGTTTGATTAGGGGTTGCAGATAAAGGCAGAAAGAGTGTTAAAGGCATAGAGGATGCTAGAATCTTCATCTTTATCAACTTTCTTCCTCCGACCAAACAACAACCCTTAAATATGCAAGCTGATTTTAACATTTTATGTTCCACTTCAGTTTAAGTTATATTCATATAAGTCACTATTAAATCTCTGACTATCTACTCATTTCACTTTTTGGTTATAAAATGATGTAAAAACTAATTCCAAATTCTGAATTACAACTTAATTCAAGATCACTTCTTACCGACGAGAAACCCGAAATGTTTAATGAGCAATGCTTCAAGCCTTCAACATTTTCACATCATTTCATACATCTATCAGTACATAAGAGAAAAGCGAATCTACTACTAACCTAAGCATTTGCGAGTGTCAGCGTAACATGGCACACTGACAGTGATGCCGAAAGGATCTCAGTGCTTTTCCATTCAGTCCATCCTTCAAATCATGCTATCATGTTATATATGAAATAAAAAATACAACAAACTAGGTTTTCACCAGTTTCAGTCGCTAAACATGTTTTTTTCCCCTTGTTGAATCAAGTATGACAAGCAAATTAGGTTCATGCATGATTTGATTGATGTACCAGGTATAAATAAATAATTTGCTGGTTTTATCCTATAACTTCTGTAGAATGAACTTGTCACTTTCTGCACTGTAAGGAAACAGTCTTGCATTGCACATTTCAACACACATTTTAGTCAAGCTGCAGTATCTTTAAAAGGATTTAAAAAAAAGAAGAAAACATTTGTGTTTTTAAACGAATAATAACACAGAAATGAAAACGTTGTCATCAATTACTTACATTCCAAATCTGTATGATTTTCACAAAAGATGTTCTGAAGAATGTTGGTAACCAAACAGTTTTTGTTACCATTGACTTCCATTTTGGTATGGAAAACCATTTTCTTTTATGCCCCCTAGAATAAATAAAGTCATACAGGTTTGGATCAACAAGAGTAAATTATAAATGAACAGATTTGGAGAAATTTAGCATTACATCACTTGCTCACCAATGGATCCTCTGCAGTGAATGGGTGCCGTCAGGATGAGAGTTCAAACAGCTGATAAAAACATCACAATAATCAACATAATCCACATGACTCAAATCGTCCATCCCCTGTTATCCTCTCACATTAAAATCCATGGATTAAGTTTAGAAATGTTTTGGACTGTTTTCACTTATAAATGGTGCTTGAAAAGTAATCTTGTCAGAATCAGGAAAGAAATATGCACATCTCTTTTGATACAGATGAGAGGACTTTTTCACTGGAGAAAGCAATTTCGCCTTGATGAATTTGTTTCTTAGAAACATGCAGCTTTTCACTTCACAAGACATTCATTAATGGACTGAAGTCATGTGGATTACTTGTGGATTATTGTGATGCTTTTATCAGCTGTTTGGACTCTCATTCTGACGGCACCCATTTATTGCAGAGGATCCGTTGGTGAGCAAGTGATGTAATGCTAAATCTCTTCCAATGAACAAACAAACTCTTTATCTTGGACAGCCTGAGGGTGAGTACATTTTCAAAAAATTCTAATTTTTGGGTTAACTATTCTTTTAAATTAACATAGGAGCCAAATTTCCCGCTTATGTTTTGCTGGCCAGATAGAGTCATACACATTGATTGGTTTGCTATTGATTTGTTTTGTTTTGTTTTTAACAAATAACACCAATTAGTAAATCAATAATAAATACTGTGAATAATCATATTATATATAATACGTGTATGTAATCATAACAATCTTTGGTGGACTGATGTTTTGTCACTTAACAGATCTCACTATTCTGCGAGTAAAATATCAAAATAAACACACTCCATAATATGGATACAATTGAAATGAAGATAAGCACTTTTCTCAGCATATGCTTTGCATTGGAGGTACAAGTTTGAGTGCCCACTTCCAAAACGGCAGAGAAAGTACTAACAGAAATATTCAAAAGGAAAAAAAAAAAAAAAAAATCCCACATTAAATAGCAAATGCATGCGACTCCGCAATTCCCTTCTGGATTCTTCAATCAGATTATAAAATTGAACTGGACATTTAAAAACATTTGTGAATAAGATGCTTTGCAAATCTTTCCTCATGTGAATCTAGCACTGCCCATATAATATATAAGGCCTGAGAGTCTTTTGCATGTAATTAACAGCTGACAGCATACAACACACATCAGCAGGCAATGGATATCCATGATTTCATCTTTAAGACATCAGTGCAGTGCAACATTTTCTTTCAGCTATGGGTGATTGTCTTAAAATCTGTAAAAAGCACATCCTGGGCTGCCAGAGCCCTGTGCTGTGCTTTATTCTTGAAGAAACAGGTGTTTGAAAATACAGGGGTGCTCGTGAAGTCTGAAGACAAAAAGAAAACCTTTAATAACAGCAACAAAACCAAAGGTGCACACAGTGTTTCTTATGTGCCGAACTAAAGCCCCAGCAAATCCTGGAAGTTTTTCCCTGAAAGACAGTCCCATTCACTCTGTGGAAATTAGATGGCGCTAATTCAAAGTGGATTTAGTTATTTAAATATAGCTTTTTTGTGATCCTGAAGAAAGATGGTTATTTTGTTTTGGGAACTACCAGGATCTCATCCCCATCTTGAATGCTGTAAGAGTGCAAGGCCCGTGTGCTGTATTTCAACTCGTCGGGGCCAAAGGCAGAACCCTTGTCGATGTAGTAAAGGCGCATGTTGCTGGTGGGGAGCTGCACAACAGTCCTCAGCTGCTTCTTCAGCCCTGCGACGGTCTGATCCAAACGGATGCTCACCTGCTCCACTTTGTCTTCATAGCGCACCTCCACTTGGGCAAGGCAACGTGGTCTCAGGTCGATCTCAGCCAGAGGAGCCAGTTTCCCATATTTGGTCACCAAGCAGTGATATCTCCAAAGCGAAATGCAAATACTTAAACAAAATTCAGCCTTTCACTACATGGGCAAACCAAAATTCCTACTTAAAAAGTCAAAATACTGTAAAGCAAGCACTTTTAGCTACACTAAAAAAAAACTGTCTTTGGAACAATTTTACCTGAGAAATTACGAGTACATTTTACAAATAAATACAAGTAGCACAATGAAGTAAATGTGATTTTTTAAAGACTGTAATGGTATTTACTTGTAAAACGTAATTGAAAAATATTTGTTTTATTCACACCTAGAAAAAATATTTTTTTACTAGGTGTGAACAAATCTGGCGTATAATTATTTACAATAGGAAGAATAATTACATTAAATTATATTATAATTATTTAATAAACAATACATTTTATTTAAAGGATTAGTTCACTTCTGAATGAAAATTTCCTCATAATTTTCTCACCCCCATGTCATCCAAGATGTTCATGTCTTTCTTTCTTCAGTCAAAAAGTAATTAAGGTTTTTGAGGAAAACATTCCAGGGTTTTTCTCTATATAGTGGACTTCAGTGGGTGGAAGGTCCAAATTGCAGCTTCAGTGCAGCTTTAAAGCGTTCTACACGATCCCAGACGAGGAAGAAGGGTCTTATCTAGCAAAACAATCTGTCATTTTCTAAAATCAAATGACAATTTATATACTTTTTAACCTCAAACACTTGCCTTGTCTAATTCTGCGTGAACTCTGTGCATTCCGGTTCATGACAGTTAGGGTATATCAAAAAACTCCCATTTAATTTTCTCCTCCAACTTCAAAATCGTTCTAAATCGTCCTACATCGCTGTTTTACCATTTTTTGTAAAGGGCGTTTGACCTTCTTTGCACGTTCACTTTGTAAACACTGAGTCGGCACTTCTGTAGCGATGTAGGACGATTTTGGAGGAGAAAATGAGATGGGAGTTTTTCGACCTACCCTAACTGTTTCGAATGGGACTGCACAGCGTATGCATGCACATTGCAGAGCTACACGAGACAAGCGTTTGAGGTTAAAAAGTATATCATTTTTATCCTTTTTTAGAAAATGACCGATCGTTTCGCTAGATAAGACCCTTATTCCTCGTCTGGAATCGTGTAGAACGCTTTAAAGCTGCACTGAAGCTGCAATTTGGACCTTCCACCCAGTAAACCCCGCTGAAGCCCACTATATAGAGAAAAACCCTGGAATGTTTTCCTCAAAAACCTTAATTTCTTTTCGACTGAAGAAAGAAAGACATGAACATCTTGGATGACATGGGGGTGAGGAAATTATGAGGAAATTTTAATTCAGAAGTGAACTAATCCTTTAATAATTAATTATACTTAGAGTGTGTTTCTGGTCTAAATAATGCTTCTTACAAAATTGTCATATATGGAGTATGTATCGTAAAACAAAGTCAGTTGCATTAAAATAAAGCAAAATCCTATAACATAAAAAAACATACTATTTGATTGTAATTACAGAATGTTTCCAGACCATGTTTATGCTGAATGTGTTCAAAAACAGTTGGACAGACCACAAGATAATGGAATGAAATGTATGTATCTCAAGGCACACTTTTAACATTTTTGGCAACACCCAAAGGCATCTGTCTTTATGAGTACACAGACCAACAGTTTAAAGAATAGCGCTGCCTGATACTGTGTCTACACCAGATGCAACTGTTGTTGACCATTGTTTAAACAGCTAAAAGCGGTCTACACTTGACGCAACCAAGTGATTGCAAATCAATTTGTCCTTTTTCCACGTGTGTTATGGTGTGTTCACACTTGTAGTTTGGTTCTCTTGGTTCATTTGGTCCGGACCAAAAATGAAAACAATACAATTGGTCCTGGTCCGCTGAGCGTTCACACTGGCATTTTTGACAGCAAACCTATACCGAACCTAAAGGCACAGTGATGCGTTCACAACCTGATTGGTCAGGTTGAATGACATATATTTCGCGTCGGAACTCACCGAATACCCCAAACAAAAGCTGTGTTCGACTTAAAAGCGGTGCTGCACAGACCGATCGGTGTATGACATCAAAGTATCATTCACTGATCGGTCTGCTCAGCACCGCTTTAAGTCGAACACACATAATGCCGTCTGCTGGACTAAGCGCGCTCATTGCTGCATGTACTTATAATTTTATTTTCACCACCTGCGAACTCACGAAGCGTTCATAAAAGGCACTTTACCTCCTCGTTGCTCCACGTTTGCCCTCTGCTCATTTTGTTTTGGATGGTACCGCTCATTCCGCGTCATTAAATCATGTCGCATAGCATCACATCTTTTCATTACTTCCTGTTTTTGGTTAGTTTAGAAGCGTTTGGTCCGTGTTGCGTTCATATTTAATTCGAACCGCACCAGAGTTAGTTTGGAAGCGGACCAAGACCCATCTTTTTAGCGGTCTCGGTCCGCTTGTTTGGTGCTCACCAGGGTTCGGATGGCAGCTTTCACACTTACTCAAACAAACCGCACTAACAGAGCAATCTCACCAGGGTTCGTTTTAATCGAACCAAACATGACAAGTGTGAACACACCCTTAGAATTAGAGCAAGCGCATCGAGTACATAATAAATAGAATGGGGCACCAGTTTATGGTTGCCGATTTGTCGCATCGCGCCGCACTGCAAGTATACACTATTGTGGTTAGTTGCATCGCTTGCATCTGGTGTAGACATGATGTGAGTCCAAGAACTATTTAATAAGGTTCTAAATGGTCTACGCCAGTGTTTCCCAATCCTGGTCCTAGAGAACCCCCAACACTGCACAGTTTAGATGTCTCCTTAATCAAACAAACCTGATTCAATTAATCAGCTCATTAGTAAAGACTCCAAGGCCTCAAATATGTGTGTCAGAAAAGACATACATCAATAGCATGCAGTGTTGGGGGTTCTCCAGGACCAGGATTAGGAACCACTGGTCTGTACTACAGTGTTCATGCCTAAAAGATACCTATGGGGCAGCTCTTCCTCTGAATGATCCAAGTGATAACGGATGAAGAATCTCTCAGCGTCTTCTCTCTCGGCATCCGTCACGACACTCCCATTCAGGCAGGTCACTGATGGCAGTCTGCAGGCGGGAGCAATGAGATCTTCTCATCAACATTTCTACATTACTATCAGTTTCTAATGAGGTTAAAATGAGAGTTCACCAAAAAATGAAAATTCGCCAATTATTTTCTCTGTCGTCACATTCATCCCTGGAATGACCTGCCCAACTCAATCCGAGCAGCTGAGTCCTTAGCCATCTTCAAGAAACGACTAAAAACACATCTGTTCCATTTTTATTTGACCCTCTACCACTTTCTATTCTATTTTAATTCTACTTTATCTATTTATCTTCTTTTTTTTATAAAAAAACAACAAACACTAGCTTTCTATTTTTTTCTATTCTATCTAGTTGTTTTTCTTTGTGTGTGTGTGTGTGTGTGTGTGTGTGTGTATATATTGTCCTCATTTGTAAGTCACTTTGGATAAAAGCGTCCGCTAAATTACTAAATGTAAATATAAATGTAAGATACATTGGACTTACTGGGCTATCATTAGACTACGGCGCTCCATGCTCGTGTAAGCCTGCAGTAGAGGAATGCCTTGCAACCTCACTTCTTCCAGTTTGGGCAGAAAGTTTAGCTTCTCAATGTCCTCCCATCGATTAAGCCCTGACTCACAAAAATGATAAAAATGAAGTTTTTATTGGGTTTATGTAATTACACTGTACTAGAATAGTAATAATTAGACAATTACACACATACTATGATTATTTAGAAGCTTTCCCAGCAACTGTCACAAACACGATGATACCTGAGTTGTGCAGATTGATTCTTCGAACGTTAGGGAAGAGCCGCTGAAGGATTTCTCCCGAGTCTTGAATGGAGCTCAGGTAGTTGTTGGCCATGACCAGAGTGTCCAGTGCAGGGAACATGGAGCCGAATTTTCGTACTTCACTCCACTCGTGGAGGCTGTTATCTGTGATGTGAAGCAGACGCAGTGTGGGGAAGGGCATGGCGGCCGGTGTCACAGTGGTGTACTCATTAAGGCACAGGAACAGCTCCTCTAGTCTGGACAAAACAGATCAATATTAGTGGAGAGCTGTCATACCAGAGGCACCTTCATAAAGTCTGATGGTTCACTTTAAAGCAAGAAAAGAGTTGTTCTCACTGGCCATAATGTTATCTGAAAGCCACTGAATTAATTCAGAGTGAATTCTCTCAAACATCATTTATAGCTCAATACAGTAACAAGGTAAAGTGAATGATCCCATGAGAATCAACAGTGTCATGATGATGGTACAAAGAAAAGAAATGATAACTGAATAATTTATGCAAGAGATATGCAAGATTGCACATACACAGTCAATAAAATACTCTGAATGTGAAAAAAATATATAAAATCAATACCATAATGTCAAAAATCTGGCCAGAGCAATCAATACCACACATGTACACAACTAGTAACTGTTAATACATAATATCAGTCTATATTTTTTCAAAACTACAAAAACCTCAAGAGTTTAAAATGCGACTCACTCAGGCATCTCTTGTGTGAATGTGTGCACTGTGTCCCAGGACACCTGGGTATTGTTAAGAACGAGGCGGCGGATGCTAGAAAAGGCCTTTGCGCAGTCCGGCTCCAAGACTGCATCACTCAGATGATTAGAGCTGAGGTTCAAGAACTCCAGGTTCGGGATGTTAGAAACAATCTTGCTGATCTAGAACAGATTAAAGGGTTAAAAGACACATTTTAGGGACATAAAAATGTATAATATACATACACACACACATACATACATATATATATGAACAGAATTTTCTATAACATTATGAATGCCATTACTGTCACTTTTGATCAATTGAATGTGTCCTTGCTGAATAAAGGTACATTTGTCCTTAAAAAAATCTTACTGACCCCAAATCTTTGAACAGTAGTGTATGTTTATTTATTAATAATACTGTATATTTACAGATCATAAAATCAGTAATTTCAGTCAGTTTCTCACATAAAGCAATACAGCGCATGAGTCATATGGACTATTTTTATGGTGCTTTTTCTGTTTTTGTATTTGGAGCTTGACAGCCTTTGAATTGCTGTTTTACAACATAAGGTTGTTTAGCAATTCTTTAAAAATTTCTCCTTTTGTGTTCCAGAAAAAAGTATAACAGCATATGAAATTGGATGAAAATCAAAGTGTGGATCCTCCGATCCTCAGACTAACTAACTCACCTCATGCCAGTCTTGGAGCTTGTTATGGGACAGATCAAGTTCAACTACATGAGCACAGAAGGCAGCGATTTCTCCCTCTTCTCCTGCATGACTGATTCCACAGCCATTCAAAACCAGAACACTGGGCAGGTTCAGACGGTCTGAAGGCAGAATGACCACATAACTAATGAAACACAACAACAGCTTACAGCTGCCAAAGGAAACGCTAAAATCACCAAGGAACATTACATAACTTATTTTTAACTAACCCAAGCCTCACCTTTCATAGGTGATCCCTGATGTCCAGACGGCACAACCACGACACCCATGCCTGGACCCCGACGGCAAGGGAAGTTTTCCGGGCTGTACTTCTCACTGATCGCCTGCATAAAGGTGCGGCCTTCTGTCTCAAAAACATATATATATATATATATATATATATATATAGACACATACACACACTTAACTAATACATACTGTAAATATATAAGTATTTACAGCATTTATTAGTTACAGTATGGGTGCCTCCATCATCCATCATTTATTAAAAAAGTGTGTCATGCCATGACCCATGTGTCAAGCAGTTCAGTTAAAAAAATAGTGAGAAGCTGCAGCCCTCTGGGCTAAAAGTTCAATTTTTAAACAGAACTGGCCTAGATTTAACCATCTGCTGAATAAAGTCATGTTCTTGCCGACTTTACTGAGAATAGCATTTACTGTCTTATAACAAAAATAAGTTAATCCACTAATGAATAAGCATATTGAATACGTTTTTCCTTGATTAACTGATATGTATATGAGAAGCAAGAATATTACATGCTGTCACCTGCTGCGCAATTTGTCCTCACAGGTCCAAAGACACAGCTGTGCCATAAAATAAGGTTTACTTTTACTACAAAAGTTATTTGTCCTTTGTCAGGGCTCAAACGGAAAATGTGGCTGCAAACCAGCAAAGAGACTGGGCTCTGCTCAGCATCCTCACGGCACTTCTCAGAGATAACAGCACTCTGCAGAAAGAAGACACCAGGTCAGCAAGAAGGACAGATGACCAATTCACCTTCAGCTGTAACTACACTAATCTGCCTCAACAAACCAACACACTCAATATGCATATGAAAAACCTTAATGCTGTTACAACTCAGAGCAGGTTTACAGGCTCTTAAGGGAAACACGAAAAAGAGACCAACACCATGTAAACACTCTTTCGACAGCTGTGCATATAACAGTACTAAAAGAACAATAGCTGACTTGTTAAACAAAAAGTTGCCAAGACAATACACTGCCTAAAGCAGTTTCATTAAAGTCTAGCGTTTTGGGTATCAACTTACAAGAAAAAGAGCTGATGTCTTTACATTTTACAGCACATTTAATACGAATTAAGAAATACCTATCAAATTAAAATAATATCAAATAGTAGCTGTAGAGCAAAAGCAGTACAAAAATGGCAACCAGCATTCGTACATTTTCAAACAAGGAACCTTTTACAAGGTTAGTGCTTTTATAATATACCAGGACATACTAAATCAGTGCCAGATGAATTTCCCTTGAGCTACTGCACGAAGATTCATATATTAAAGCTGACAGAACCAGTCACCAAAACAGACGACTAAATGTTAGAAGACACGAAACAAGAATGTATCTTTGTAAGTCAACACCTGAGAACGCTCATACTTCAGCTAATATTGAGGTGGCTTGAGCCGAAAACATCCCTCCATCATCATAAAGTGTCTTACACTGAATGAGCAGCTCCTCAGTGAGACGCGGGACAGGACGCTGTGATCCAAACCAACTCCTAACCGTCAGTTTATCCACGTCATGTTATTTGGAGACTCGCACTTTGATCGCCAAAGTGTTCCTCGTCGCTTTTGTTATTGTTGATAAATCTGTCACGGAAGTGGCGTCACTCCAGCTGGGTGCTCTTGATTGGCCCGTTCAGTTGTGCGCGCTGCCTGAGCGCCCTCGCTGGCGGAACGGAGAACAACAGGCATTTAATAAAAGGCATTTTTTCTGGATTTAAAATACCTCGCGATTCAGTTTGTACATCTACATTTATAGATCAAGTAGTTTCCATGAGTTAAAAATATATATATATTTATATCATGAATTAAGAATGCAAAAGATGATCAGAAGAGATGGAGTCAGTGCAGAGGGTCACTCGTGACTGACTGAGGAGGAGTCAGTTAACCATCACTAATCATGGCAGAATAGTAAGGGACAGAAATATCTTTGATTACAGACCAAATATCACAAACCATAGTGCTCGTGACCTTTCAGATTGCCTAATGCCTCCCTCTAGTGGTGGGAAAACTTCTCACAGGGACATTCTGCCGACTTTGAGGAAAGCTGTTGCAGATGGATCAGTGTTGTTAAAGCTGCAGTCCATTACTTTTTTTGGTTAAAGGGGTCATATGATGCGATTTCAATTTTTCCTTTCTCTTTGGAGTGTTACAAGCTCTTGGTGCATAAAGAAGATCTGTAAAGTTGCAAAGACTAAAGTCTCAAATCCAAAGAGATATTCTTTATAAAAGTTAAGAGTCAACCACGCCTACCTAAAACGGCCCGTTCTATCACGCCCCCACATGTCTACGTCACAATGTGGGAAGATTTGCATAACGCCGCCCAAATGTTCACGCAAAGAAAGAAGGCGTAACTTTTATTCTCGCTGTAGTATTGCTGTAGTACTGGAGGCGGACGCACTAACAAGGAGGCTAAAGATTGCAGGCACTAGCGTCAGTCCCCTGAGATCAGGGGAGTGAGGCTTACCTGCACAGCACCTACTCGCTGGCCTCCGTTACATTCATCCCCCTAATCCTCACTCCTATCCAGGTCATGGCACCAATGTAACCCCTCTCTCCCCGGTCCTCACCGTCACACCTTGTTCTTGTTCCGAGTGGGTCTCTAACCCGGGTCTCCGGCATGGGTGTCAGACGCACTAACAAGGAGGCTAAAGACTGCAGGCACTAGCGTCAGTCCCCTAAGATCAGGGGAGTGAGGTTTACCTGCACAGCACCTACTCGCTGGCACTCCGTTACACAAGTACATAACCAGCCAGTGTTCAAAACTATCGCCTTACTTTAGCCTGTTTCACAACGGTTAGCTTATAATAATGTTTTCTAATTTGAGTGGTACGGGTAGGTTTCCGCGGGAAATTCGAGCATGCCGCTGCATCATTATGTCATGTCTGTAAACATAAAGAAGTTGTCCCGGCGACTAGGCTATCTCATGTGAGGATCCTGCAGGTGGCCGATCGTTTATAGCCTTTTCTCACAGCATCTGGAATAATTAAATATATCATTTTGATGGCGGGATTGTAATCCAGAAAGGTTTATGAGTTGAAAACACATGTGAATGAAATTAAATTATATTCTAGTTTTAAATGTGCTTCTGATTACAGATAACCTGGGATTACACAAGATTTGTGTACCAGTAACCAGTTTCGATGAGAGCTTAATTTGCTTTTTGGGTTAAAATAATTTCTTAATATGAAATTCGAATGGTATGACAATTAGAGATTAGACTGTACAGAAATGGAAATCTACACGCTAATACACACTATATTCACATATTCACGTAATGCTGATGTTGTTAATATAGTGGTTACAAATAATAAAGAAATGCAAGAATTATTTTTCCTAAATATATCGTTATTGTCATAAGAATTTTTTTTATAATTAATTAAATGTCATTAATGTGTGATCTATGTTGGGTATGAATCTGAGTATGAGTATGAGTATGATCTTTGAGGATAACGATTTATATCTCCTGCCGAGATTGGTATGGACGATCGATTACTTCTGTCTTTGGACTCGTTCAACTGTTGGAGGAGGGGGGCGCGCTGCTCAAGACTCAGAAGGTGAAGCAGCAGCAGCAGCAGCTCCGGACAGAAGGTGCATAGGCCCCCGGTTGCACCGGTCATGCTCATCCTTTGAGAGAACGATGGAATGTCAACGGTGAAGAGCTACACTCAATTCTTGTTGCGGGAAGTGGCCACTTAAAGTTCGAGCTGACAAACGAATTAACGTGGTGCAGACGGTAGCAACACTGGGCTGTGACTGGTTCGTTGATGGAAGGAAGTAGTGTAGTTTCCGGAAGTGATTCGGAGATGGAAGATGAAGCGTTTGGCGGGGAAGGTAGTGGTGGGAGGAATTTAAACTGGTCAGTGGTGGAAAAAACGAAAAAGGAGAAAGAAGAGTTGGAGTGAGATCTCAGGAACTGATAGTGATAAGGAGCAGCGTAATATAAGAAAAAGGAAGGAAGAATATCAGGTAATGTTGAAGTTTGCATCTGGTGCTGTTGGTGTAATCAATCCATTGAAAATTACCAAAGCTATAAAGGAATCGATTGGACAGATCGAATGCGCGAAAAATTTGAGGGATGGTAAGTTACTGATAATATGTAAGGATAGTAGTCAACAAAAGGCAGCGCTCGGACTAAAAACATTGCTTGGTCAGAAGGTTACATGCACAGTGATGGAAAGAAAGAAGTGGGTAAGAGGAGTAATATATGGTGTACCGACTGATATGTCTGTTGAAACGATCCAAGGAGGAGTAAAAGGTGCTGTGGTGAAAGAGGTGAAACGGCTTAAGTGTGTTAGGAACAAAGAAAGGGTTGACAGCCTTCCGGTTATGCTGCATTTTGAGGATAAAATGCCTGAAAGAGTATACATTGGATTTCTTAGTTATGCAGTTAGAGAATACATCCCTCCGCCACTGAGGTGCTACAATTGTCAGAAGTATGGAGGTTACAGTGCAGGTTATGGGGGATGTCAATACAGGAAAGAAGCTGCGAAAGTTCAAAATGTGAGAGCGACAGAAGGTCTGACTTATGCAGAGGCTCTCAAAAAGGTTCAGATGTCTAAATCTAAAAGTGATGAAAGAATGGAACGGAATCTTCCAATTAATGAATTTGACCATAGAAGAGGAACTATGAATTGAAAACTTATGGTAAATGATCAGATTTCATTTGTTACATTTTTGGCAGAGGTAGTGAATTGCTCAGCACAAACTGAGAGTAGAACTGAGAGGATTAAAATTATTATTAGGGCTGCAGAAAAATATCTGGATGTTGAGGGGGTTTCAGTAGATAGAAATTATTATACCACTAAGCAAAGAAGAAGTTAAGGTTAAAATTAGAACAGCAATAAAAATGAGATGGCAAGAAGTTTGGAATAAGGAGGTGAGAGAAAGACATCTTTATCATATTCAAAATCAAGTTGGGGTTGAAAAAGTAGATCTGTTTAACAGGATTTTGAAGAATTTAAATTTTTTTTCTTTCTATTATTATTATATAATTTTATTAATAATTATTTTTATTTATTTTTTAATTTTTTATTATTTTTTTTTTTTGTTCTTCCTATTCCATCAATGGTCCACACTCCAGCCCAGTAGGTGGCGGGAATGCACCTATCGTTTGTTTGCCAACCGCCATAAAACTCCAAAAGAAGAAGAAGAAGCAGCAGCAGCTCCGTGTCCTGTGTCTTTATTGACTTTAATATTTTCCCTCACCAGGTATGAAATGTATAAACTGTCATGGAAATTCATTTGATATGTCAATGCTGTGAAAATGGCAAATGTCATACTCTAAAGTGTGTAAGTAGTCCGTAAGGAGACGTTTAAAAGTTCGGTTCAACCACATGTGTACCACGCGCTCCACGCGTGAATGCTAAGTTAATGGCGGATAACGTGATTACAGAAATGTGAAAATGGAGTGAATTTACGGATATATAATGTTTTGACAGTTAATATAACAGATAAGAGTTATAAGTTTCAAGTGAAAGTGTTGAAAATAGAAGTCAGTTGTTTCACATGAATAAGTGTAATGAATGTGTTCGTTCAAATAGTATATAAAGAGATATAATTATTTGGAACATGGTACTTATGTTAAAGGGGTCATATGATGCGATTTCAAGTTTTCCTTTCTCTTTGGAGTGTTACAAGCTGAATGTGCATAGGGCTGGGTATCGTTCAAAATTTTTCGATATCGATACCTTGACTTCGATACCGGTTCCTGAATGATACTTTTTTTTTTCGATACCAATTTTATGAAATCAATTTTAACAAGATTACATTATCTAAAAAAAAAATTTGGTTTTATTTTTCAGCTGGTTGGTGTTTATACAAACTCAAAGACTCATCTCCTGAGCCACTGCACAAAGGAACAAAATGTAACCCAACACAATAAATCAGTGCAAAATAGTTTTAATAAAGCTCAAATAGTCTTCAGTTTACACATCTGTTAGGCTACATTTACACTAGTTAGTGTTCGTTTTAAAATGCATAGCTCAGACAGAATCATGATTTCTATTTATTTTCCACTGATTTACTGATGAGCATTAGCAGCTTCCAGCGCTGTCTGCTTGTGTTCTCTCTTCCATGATCGCTGCTCTGATTCAGAGGTAATAACATATTTAATTTCAGCAACATTACATGGCCAAAACACACATTAGATGGCAGGGCCGGATTTACCTATTTTCGTGACGTAAGAAAAACACATTTTTGGGCCCCCTTCCCTATTAATATAATGGACCTAATATTACCACCCAAGCAAACAAAAATATTTCTTAATCAGTGGAAACCGATACAGTGTTTTCTATGTGTGTGTGTGCGAGAGAGAGAGCTGTGTGTGTGTGCGAGAGAGAGCGCTGTGTGTGTGTGTGTGCGAGAGAGAGAGAGCACTGTGTGTGTGTGCGAGAGAGAGAGAGAGAGAGAGAGCTGTGTGTGTGTGTGCGAGAGAGAGAGAGCTGGGTGTGTGTGTGTGTGTGTGAGAGAGAGAGGGGGAGGGCTGTGTGTGTGTGTGCGAGAGAGAGCTGTGTGTGTGTGCGAGAGAGAGCGCTGTGTGTGTGTGTGTGCGAGAGAGAGAGAGCGGTGTGTGTGTGTGCGAGAGAGAGAGAGAGAGGGGTGTGTGTGTGTGTGTGTGAGAGAGAGAGGGGGAGGGCTGTGTGTGTGTGTGCGAGAGAGAGCTGTGTGTGTGTGCGAGAGAGAGCGCTGTGTGTGTGTGTGTGCGAGAGAGAGAGAGCACTGTGTGTGTGTGCGAGAGAGAGAGAGAGAGAGAGAGAGGTATCTTTCCCAGGAGCGTGGAGTGAGACAGGGCTGTTGCTTAAGCCCAATGTTATTTAACATCTACATCAATGAACTGGCGAGCAGTCTGGAGCGATCTGCAGCCCCTGGCCTCACCCTACACAACTCAATGGTAAGGAGCGTTACATTTCTGAAGAGTGCTTGCGGTGTTCGGCCAATCACAATGCACTGGGTCAGCTGGCCAATCAGAGCAGACTGCGCTTGTCGGAAGGAGGGACTTTGTAGAAAACGAAGCGTTTGAGAAAGGCGGGGCATAGAGGACTTACAATAATGTACAGTATTTGAAAAATAATGTGTTTTTTGAACATTAAAGCATGTCAACATATTCTGTTACACAAATACACAAAATAATGATCTTTAAAAAAGCATCATATGACCCCTTTAAGATGTTAGGTTGAGTATCATATGTGGACATTGGATGCCATAAATTAATACGTATTAATAATGTACATTGCATTCCAAATGTTCACTGAAATTATGTGTAATTGGTGGAAATAGTACCTGATGAGAAGCTGTATTTGAGTAGTTTCTTATTTTTCTGCATATTGTGACTTTTTCTAAAGATGTTATTGTGTTTTATGTTTATTGATGTATGAAAATGCAGAAATATTTGCATCAATGCAAAAACAATACACAGACTCAGAAGGTGAAGCAGCAGCTCCGTGTCCTGTGTCTTTATTGACTTTAATATCTTCCCTCTCCAGGTGGTGAGGGCGCTACATTAACATTAATAATTTGAGAATAAAGTATAACAATAATAGTAATTTGCACGGTTTGATGTGATATGAGCTCATTTAGATTAAATCACCATTGGTAGCGCTTTTTATTGTAATGCTATTTTCCTCAGTTGGTCAGAACAAATGTGGCAGACTTGTTACTTATTTGTTCAGATGACAATATATGGTAAATTCTTATTTAGGTCATATATTCCAAGAAGTAGGCTAGAATCTGTGATTGCGAAGTACAATGAATATCCACACGGTGCGTTGACTGACTGCCACACATACTCTTCAGAACATTAGATTCATCCACACTGGAGCTGCGCCGGAGCTAGTCTTGCGTAGCCAGACCTTCAGACTGATGGCTGAAAGTCATCATCTTCTTCTTGTTGCTTTACGGTGGATCGCAGACTTAAGTGCATTACCGCCACCTATATTTCAAATGGACCATTGACACTATCTACAATCTCCTGATTAATGGCTGAAGGTCGTCTTCTTCTTTTGGCGTTTTATGGCGGAGGGAATCTATGGCAGCTTTCATTGGCCAAGGCCCGCCCATGAGGCCGTTTGACTGACATGTCAAACAACCAATCACAGTTCGTTTTGTTTAAGCATCACGTTTCGGGGCGTGGAAATGTCACCACAATAACAGACCGGTGTGTAAAACTTTCAGACATATTTGAAAGATTCTATGCCGTGAACTAAATATTTCATACTTTTGAGAATCCAGCATTTAGTTGATCCTGATAAGCGCTCGTCGTCACAGTTGTAAACATGGCGGCTTTATTCTTTCGTGAGGGGGTTTGGCATCACGGCATCTTGGTTCCAGGCGGAATGTTAAAGAACGCCACACACACGTCTCCCGGAAATCCTGTATAATTCAACCAATCCGATGCCGACTTCGAAACTCCTGAAGTTTTTTCCACTTTTGTGTGCCATATGCATCAGACATTCAGCCAACGGTCCGTGGGCGTGACGTCTGAGGCTGAGACAACGCTGGAGCACAACCCACTGTAAGGATAAAAGAAACTAGAATACTTTATCTTCCTAAATTGAATAACTCTGCGCGCTGAAAAGACCGAACACGCAAGAGACCTTCATCCGCCACTGGATACCTTCCTTGGACCAGGTGCAAGATACAAACCTTACACCCACGCAAGGAAGATAATTCCGCAGACAGCTGCAATTGCAGGTTTTCAAACAGAGATGGCGACAAAGAGGCAAAACTTACGGACTGCAGCTTCAATGTTAACTAGTCTAAAACTAAATTGAAATAAAATAAAAAATCTTTTAATTTTTTTTAATAAAACCCCCACGAAAATCAGAAAAGTAAAAGAAACTAATAAAATAAAAGCTAAATAGAATTAAAAATTTTAAAAATGTAAAAAGTACATAATTAAATTATTAATACTACCTCAATTAAATTGAAAATGGAACATAAAAAAAGTTAATTCAAAATAAAGAAATAATATAATAGTAAATAAACAATCCTTAAATAACACGTATATGGACATAACTTTTTTTTTTATGGACATGTGTGTCTCAACTTTTAAAGTTTGCTCTAGCATGACCTTATTACTAGCATTAGTATATATGAGGCTTTGTATATGAGCATATTAATTAATATGAGGGCAAGGATGTTAATTTAAATTTTTTTTTTTGAAAGATGTGGAAATCATCTAAAAGAACACAGATGGACCACTTTTACAAGACTTTTCAGAATGATAAATTTTACTTGCTCTTTTCATAAAGTCTCAGAGATCGATATACAATAATCAAAGCATTTATATTTTCTGCGAAGAGACAGTGTTATTGCATATTAACAACTAACAAGCATAATATTTTTCTAAATTTATAAAGCCCATAAATGAGCAAAATGAGCTTACGTACATGTACGGCAATGTGTGTGTATATACTGTATATATATATATGTATGTATATGAAACTCTAGATGGCACAGTCCGATAGGTCACTCAATCTGACATAATGACATCATCACATGGCGCAGCTGATTGGTCCTTTTTGTATTAGCAGCCAATAAGCTCGCTGCTCAACATTCATATACTTGGCTAGTGCTTGCTGTAGCAGTTGCAGCAAGCTTCAGAACTCCCTACCTTCCCCAGTTCCACCTGTATAGATCTGCTACGAGGTGATTCATGATTGCTATATCGGGGTTATTTCATATGTTATATGTGCAGCAGCAGTATTTCTAACATGCTCACAGCAGCATGTTGTGGATGTAATTGGCAAAAGCAAGTCTCGGTACTTGCTCTGCTAAAGCAGCAGCATAGCAGATCTATTCCATCAAGACCAAACACATTTCATGTACATTACCATGCCAATCCCTCCGAGAGCTGTCATGACAGAAAAAAATATTCATAATTATTTATGCTAATCCAATATAATAGCACAGAGTAACATATTTAATTGGTGTGAAGACATCTGTTGTCTCTTCTGTGGTATCCTTCCTCAGGCACAGTGATTAAAGTATTCTGCTTCAGACCGCTCACCTGCAAGCAAAATTGAAAAAAGCTGCAATGATGCAGCTTAAACGTCTAGAAATAATTAAGTGCCGAGTAATTTAGACTTACTGGTCTGGTAGTAATCATAGACTTTTACAACCGCTGGCTTGAGGTTTTTAACTGAGAAGATTTGTTTAGTACGTAGTGTTTGGCGGAAGAGCGTGTACTTTTGAACCTGTAAAACATATAAAACTCAAATTACATTAGATTAATCAGTGATATTATATTGCACAGCATTTTTGCTATATTATATAAGGTTTCAAAACAGATTTTATAGTTAATTATTTTAATCACACTGGTTGTCATTATAAACCACACATGTTATCATTCCCACCTCTTGAAGATACATGATCACATGGTCATCTTTGGATTCAACACGATGTACTGATTTCTTTAACTGTGGAAAAACATTTTTAGTGCAAACTAAAATATTAGAAAAGATTTGGGGAAATGTGCAGCATTTACTGTCATGGATGCTGAATTAAACGGCCTTACCGCATCCAGGGAAGAGGGCTCTAGTTTGAAACCAGATAAGAGTTTCATATCTACAATGACCATGTTAGAACTGTCTTGTGTCCCTGTATATCTGAACGGATAACAAAACATATAAAAATATAGAATATTTGCAATAAATAAGTAAAGAATTAAATCTTAACACTGAAGGTGTAAATCAGAATCTGCTCTTACATAATATCTAATACGACATCCAGAATTTGTCCTGTCCCGCTCTGACACAGTCCCACAGTCCTAGCAAAGATTTGTAATGCCTTAGAATCCTTGGGAGTGGGGATATTGTAGAAAAGAGACATCTAGAAGAGAGTCACATTAAAACATTAGGACATCTCTTTAGGCTATCATCATAATGTGGTTTTAATTTGTTTTGCTGCACTTCACAGACCTGCACAGACACACAGCCTGAGCCCTTCACTTCAATGCTGTATTTGGCTGGAACGTTCTGCAGCTGCTTCTCCTGGTACAGTAACTTGTTGTCCTGATTGACATCAAAGTGGTGAGTGTCTGCTGCTGACTGTACAGTCACTGTGCTGGAGCCATCAGAGCTGAACACTTTGGTGGCGTACAAAGACAAAGCCTGAAGAGCCACCACTGTGTCCTGAGAAACAAATGTGTTCAGTAATGTGACTTTTACCCATTATTCAGCAATCATGTGTTTGATTTGAGTAGTTTGAGTCACCTGTGTGGAGGAGAATCCTCCATAGGCATTCTGCTGCTTCACAAGCCAGCTGACAATCCTGTTAGCAAAGCCCAGATCAGCTGTAGTGAGTGAATCTGCAGTGAGAGCAGCTAGCAGCACATATGAGCTGATCTCCACTGCCAGAGAATCAGAGTCATCAGCAGATGCAGACTGAGACCAGTGGAGATGAGACCCTTTAGGACACATGGACAAAATAGACAGTAACTCAACAAGCAAAAAACAAACAAACAAACAAACAAACAAACATTACAGTCATAAAAGACAACAGAAAGTAGCCAGAAACAAATCTCTTACCATCTGAAATAGCAGCATCCTCCAGTTTCTTGAAAAGCTGCTGTCGAGTTGCTTTGTCTTTAGCCAGACTGAAAGTGTAGGCGAGCAGAGCAGTGGTATAAGTGTTTCGGATATCGCCAGCAAAATGCTTTAAGTATGACAGACCTTTGCTCACAGCAGGATCCTACAACAGAAACAGTGCAGGTGACAAATATATAAGAGCCTTATAAAATAGTACAGTTTGTGCTTGACAACATAGACCGTACTGACCATAACTGATGTGTTCAGCTCGAGTAGTGATGCAGTTATATAGGCAGTGATGGTCACACCATCACTTACACCCCCCTAAAATACACAGATAGCAAATAAAGGCATCTATTATGAAAGTGTTCATTTTTAAATAAGCAATTTTGACTTCTTATAACAAGGCAAATTAAAATTAAAACTAAAATTGCTGAAATCATTAAGACTTATTTTCAGACAATATATTTAATTATTCTATATTATTTTTATTTTTTTCCTTTCATAATTTTAAGCAAGCATATACACATTTTGCTTCATTATACCAACAATTTACAAATGGAATAACAACTTACAAATGTTAACAATTTTGTACCTAAAATAAATATATCTTGTTTTAGAAATGTTATGTAATTAATGTAGATATTTATAGTGGAAAACTGACTAAGTTCCCTGATTTATATAAATATTTGTAATATTTTTTACCTTCATTCTGTTATTGAAAAGTTTTCCCCTGCTCTCATATAAACCATATGGTTTTTGGTGGCGTATCAGCCATTGCTTTGAATTCTGAATTTTTTGGGGGTCAATAAAGATGTAACGCTGTGCTTTCCCAAAAGTCCTCAGCACAAATGCGGTCAGCCTGTTAATTGAATTCAATTTAATACATTTATTCAGACTCATCTGGAGATTTGTGATGTGGCTTTTAAGATATTACCATCTTTTGATTTAAAACAATATTCTTTGCTGGACATTTGGGTTTAGTGTAATGGTTTATTTATGAGGTAAAAACAGGAGTTCATACCATGTATTTCCTTCTCCCTTTCCAAATGTAGAATATGATCCATCTGAATTCTCATAGTTGAGTTGCCTTTGATACCCTGTTCAATATTTTGGTTCAGATTATTTTCCTTAAATGTACTGAAAAACATTAGAAATAGTATGAAATCCATCTGAATGGCATCTCACCACTCTTAAGGATGCCGGTGGCTCTCTCTCGGATGGCTGAGGTGAGCTGCTCTGTGTTTTCCAGATACTGCAGAATGTAAATATTGGGAGAAAGAACAGCAATATTTTGTTCTCCACAGCCATACGGCATCTGTAATAATCCGTGAAGATTCCTTAGTGCACGACCCAATATGTCTCCTGCAAGAGGACATGATTGTACATTTCTACATCAGAAATATTCACAAGACGGTACTGATGTAAAGGTATGACTTTTTTTCTTCACCAAGCACTGAAACAGCAGCTCTTCCTGATCCCTCTATCATATTTTTGGGAAATGCCAGCTCTACTTCCTCCAAGAGGTTTTGCCCTGTAAATGGAGGCACAAAAGCAATTCATAAGTCAAATCAAAAGCAATTCATTCTTTCTCATACAACATTTTTATGGCATATATGAGTGCACAGCCATTACCTTTGGGGCAAAGCAGCCAGCTGTGGCTGTTAGTCTTTTTGATTCCTTCAGCCTGAGGAACACAGGTTAATGTTAGCACAGTTTAACCTTTTTAGTTCTTTGACTGCAATGTAAAGGTAGAGTTTTAGATAATTTAACTTGCAATTGCATGCCATGGTTAAAAGTGGCTTCTATCAATTGCAGATCATTGCCAAATTGAAGAGAATTTTGTGTTTTAATGATATGGAAACTGCTCTCACGGTTGCAGCTAGGGCAAATAGTGCAGCTAGACTATTGACAGGCACAAGGTCCAGTGTTTCTCCGAAGCTGGCTTCTTTGCACTGGCTTCCTGTTGATTTTAGAGTCCCAATACAAAGTTTTGATCATGGTTTTTAAAGGTTTGCATGCTCTTGCTCTGAAGAACATATCATGCCTGTTACAGCATCATTGTGTTGCTAGACCTTTAAGATCATCTCAGAGTTTGCTTTTACATTTGAGCATGGAGATTGAGCTTTCTTTGTGGCAGCCCCACATCTCTGGAATAGTCTCCTTTGCATATTAGATCCTGTGACTCAATAGATTTTTAAATCTATGCTGAAAACACAACTCTATAATTGCCCCAACGTGTTGGAACAATGAAGAGTGATGTATATTGTGTTGTGTGTCTATTTGAGTAATTTTTTGAAAAGTACTTTGGTCAACTTTTTTGTTTTAAATGTGCTATATAAATACATGTTGATTGATTGATTGTATTTGCATAATGTTTTTACCCACATTTACACGCAAGCTTTGTGTGACCGTGTCAATGCGTCCTCTCTCTGGCATGCTCACAATCTCATTGTCACACACAGTCTGGGACGCCTCTGCCTCTGCACTGACTGTAATATTCAAGACTCCTACAACACAAGACATGCACATGAACATTGACAACAGAGACTGAAAAAAAAATTTAGACTGGAAAACTCACCGAGAACAGGAGGAGTAAGGATCCATTTAAAGGTTTTTCTTCCATTAGCACACAGACAGGATGAATACTGATCATCAGAGGAGGCTTTGAGAGTGTAGTCTGAGGAAGGAGCTGGAGCCACTTTAACCTGTCAGTCAAACACACATTATCATTGCCATATTTGATATGATTGGATAAGACTGGGTCTGAAGTTTCACCATGATGCACTTGGACAGATAGTTGAAGACAGTGGCCTTCAGCTCAAAGATCTCCCCACGGATGATGGAGTAAGGCAGAGAGAGCTCCAGGAAGAAGGGCTGGAAAACTGTCAGCTGAGCAGGAGGAGCCAGACCCAGACCTTTGGAGGACAGACAGAAGGCCTCCGTGTCCCAAGAGGTGATGGTGTCAGGAACCGTGACAGGAACCTGAGCTGATCCAGAGTCCCTGAAGAGCATTTATTAACATAACATGTATTTATTAACATAACATTTACCAAATGAGTACCAAATATATTTAAAGGGAGTGGCACCTTCAGACTTTTTAACCTATTATTCACTCACCCAACCTCAACAAGTTCCCAGATCCAAGTTTCTGGGAAGAATGTGCGAATGGTTTCCTCGGGTAGAGGTGTGAGAGCAATACCAGTTCCTATACTTCCTGTAGTATTGGCCAGCAAAAAACAAAAGGAATAAACAATGAAAACCTGAACCACCCTATATTGTACTGCAAAATAAAAAATGAGTATTTAATAATAATAATAATAATAATAATAATAATAGTATTACCGCATGGTGAACCATGAGGGACAAGAGATTCTAAATTATTTTCATTAACAATTAAAAAAATTGGGAAGATAACTGGCACGTTGACACATTTGTTCCCAAATGAATGTTATAAGCGACCCAAACTCACAGCACTTGCAGCGATGGAGTTTGTTTGGAGCAGCATTTACTGTTAACTGAGCCACTCTGAGCCACTGAAAACAATGAGCTGCTCGTGTGTAAATGGAAACAGTCCCACGCAACACTTCAGAGCAGAGTCCTGCATTGGTCTTGTTTGATAAACACGCACCCGCATTTAAGAAAAATTAACAGACATGCAGCCCAATATGTTTAATATAAATAGATTAAATATACAGAAAGCGAGCCTTTTTTCAACAATGCTCAGTGCTGCAAATCATGCTGTAATTAAGCCTTTAACAGTCTTCAGACAGGCCGTGAACACAAGCACAGGACTGTTTGAAAGCAGCTGACTATCAGTGTGTACTGTATTGAGTCGAAATAGTCTTGGCTATCGCAACCCGCCCGTTTTTTTGTTGTTGTTGTAGCATTTGATGCTTAGCAAGTGTTAATTTTGAACCTGAGATGCTAAGGTTGTCCCATACACAGCTGCTAGATGTGCTGTCAAAAGCAATCAATATATGAACATTTCATACATTTAAAAATGCACCATGTTGCAGTTTTAGTAATTGTTTAAGGCCATTTCGAGATTTACATGGGTCCTAATTCTCAGGTAGGAAAAAACTGAAATATGTAGACTATAACTGTGGCAAAATCATATTCCTGACCAACTCCAGCTGCTCCAACTGGAAATCCTAGACCCATTGGACTCATTCCAGCCCCTGGACCCACTGCACCTGGCGGACCCACTGCACCTGGCAGACACACTGGACCTATTGGACCTGCTCCAACTCCAGCATTTCCTGGGATAGCTCCTGCCATGCCTCCATAAGATGGTGGGTGAACAAAACCCATAGAACCTGGAACTTTACAGGACATTTACTTTACAGTTAATTTTTTTAGAACACATCCAAGGTACAAACATATAGAGAGAAAATAAACAGATGTCTTACCACCAAACATTCTCTGATAAAATGCATCTCTAAATTTAATACAGGATGGCATTTTAATAATCAAATTTGTCACCACCTTCAATCCCATGTTCTTATCCAGATGACAATGTAAAAAGGCAAGAGACAATATGTGTTACTAAAAGTATTTGCGATGCTAACTGTATATTTTTTGTCTCAAAACATTAATCAAAATAAACCTTTTAAATGAAACAAGATTTTAAATAGTTACCCTGAAACTCGCATAGACAGCATCTGCCTTACTCTCTGAGGGGTAAGGGTAGAATGGCATTGGTGTATATGGAGGTGGAGGAAGAAGAGACTGAGAACTTTTTATAGATCCAATATTAAAGCAATCCTCTTGATCTTCAATGTCATATGGAAAAAGCCTGGCTGGCAACAGCTTAAAAACCTGCAGAAGGATGGAGCAAATAGTGATTTTGGAATTTTATTATGAAAAGTGTCAAAACTGAAGACAGGTCTGAAATATATATTACTTTGTCAGCATCTAGATGTTTCCCGGACTCCATGATCCGGACGCTCTGATCTACAGTACTGAGGCCACACAGTGAACCAGGCTGAGCTGAGATCTGTAGAGTGTTTTCTTCACCAGGAACCGCTGTAGTCGGAGAAAACTGCAGTGACACCTATGACACACAGTGGTCCAGTCTTTAATTTTAAAACAAAATCGAAGTATTTCAAGCAATCATTACTAAATACTCTGACTAATTATTATATGGCTATCAGGAATACTGCTGATATGGCATTTAGAGGATTCTCAGATCTAATATTTCCTAATGTTTGCTGTCATCCAAGGCAATGCTGTTTATCAATCCACTCATCCACATAACTGAAACCAAAGTCTCCCTCGAAATCGTCCATTACAATGCTAAAAAACAATCAACTAAGCTTAGCAAGAATTTTATAATTAAAATAGTAATTTATTGATAAATTGGTATTTTGGAATTTTATTATGAAAAGTGTCAAAACTGAAGACAGGTCTGAAATATATATTACTTTGTCAGCATCTAGATGTTTCCCGGACTCCATGATCCGGACGCTCTGATCTACAGTACTGAGGCCACACAGTGAACCAGGCTGAGCTGAGATCTGTAGAGTGTTTTCTTCACCAGGAACCGCTGTAGTCGGAGAAAACTGCAGTGACACCTATGACACACAGTGGTCCAGTCTTTAATTTTAAAACAAAATCGAAGTATTTCAACCAATCATTACTAAATACTCTGACTAATTATTATATGGCTATCAGGAATACTGCTGATATGGCATTTAGAGGATTCTCAGATCTAATATTTCCTAATGTTTGCTGTCATCCAAGGCAATGCTGTTTATCAATCCACTCCTCCACATAACTGAAACCAAAGTCTCCCTCGAAATCGTCCATTACAATGCTAAAAAACAATCAACTAAGCTTAGCAAGAATTTTATAATTAAAATAGTAATTTATTGATAAATTGGTATAAGTATTTCAACATTTCCTATTCACATACACATTTATTTGGTGAGTAGCATGTAATAAGTCAGCTGGTCATTACTGCAAAATAAACTCAGAGACTGTACATTCTTACATCTTTTACATACATGCAATCTCCATATTTTAATGGACTCAGCCAGCATACCTTGTTTTCAAAACATTTCTCAATTTGAAATGTTCTGGAAGCAGCTAGTACAATTTCACTGGGCGGCACACAGTATACGAGAAACTCCATCTTAGGAGCCATCCGGGCACGAACAGGGACTTTAAACATCACTTCTCCCTCCACTACTCCATCAGAGCCTTTCACCTCAATGTTCTTATAGCCATTGTAGACTATCTCTTCTCTGGATGAAACCTGAAAAAGTGAAAAGCACAGCGAATTAAATAGCTGAATGCAAAAATGTTTGTGCAGTGTTCAGCTTAATTCCTGCACCCACCAGGCAGACTATGGTAACAGAACCACTTTCAACAGTCTCTCCAGCAATAGTGTACTGCACGGTTACTGAGATCTCCTCCTCGCATTTCAGCGGTTCTTCTAGAGACTTTATAACCAGCTGACTCGCTTTTTCTGGGCTTTCTTTGGATTTTATTTGCAGAGTTTTGAATGCAGATTCAAAGATGAATGGACTACCAACCTGACTGGTGAATGACGCATATGCCTGTCAGGAGCAGATCAATAAAACACACAGTCAGGAAAATCAGCTGCAACTGATTAAGATAAATGCAGAAATAACTGAACGCCTAAGGATTTGCACTGGTGAATGAATATCACCGCTGCAACCATGAGTGAAACATTTATTTCAGCAGTACTATGCTTGAATTCATCTATTATACATTGTTTTGAATGGACAGCATCTGCTACGCAGCACAAAACTAACATAGCCTATGCATACAAATGATACGCTCACCGATACATAAATAGATGTACTTATCGCAAGGGACGTATCAATTATGAAATGGGCCAACCCATTGATGTCTGTGGTAAGTTCTTGAGGCTGAGACAGGTCATGTTGAACAACAACCTTAAAGTAAGGAAATGGGGTTCCTTTGGAGAACTCAACTTTAACCTGGTGGAAAAACAGAACCTCATCAAGGACATGCATTAGTCAAACAAAATGCAGATAAAGATTATTAAATGAAAAAGCCAAGTCAAAATGATGATTGTTTATACATTTAGAAACAAGAAAGTCTAATTCCCTGTAACCTTTGCTTGTATGACTGATCCTTTCTCAAAGAACTCTGGCAGGTCAATAAATTTGATGCTACCAATAGTATAGGTCAAAAACACATTTTCAGTCCTTTCCATTGAGATGTCTGGAAAACATAAAAAGGTAAAATGGTGAAATCTTCAGCACAACCCATCAAGTATGAACAATTTTCGATTTATCAGTGCATTGAGCTCTTTTGTTTTCATACAAACATGTTAGATTTTACATTTTACAAACCTGTCCCCTCTTCAGTTACTGATACAGTGAAATGAAGAGACTGTGGCATGAAATACACTTCTGAACTTCTGATGAAGAATGAAATGGGGAACATCTCAGAGACACAGCCTGTCTCATTTAGCTAGAAAATAATAAAAATAATAATAAAACATTTTATATATATATATATAAATAATTAATAGCATAAAAATTAAAAAGAAAACAATGAACATTTAGTCATACTTACTACTGCTATCCTATTAACACAGAGTGGAGTATGATACTGATAGGGATAATAAATACCGACTGGCATGGTTTTGCAGAGTCCCATCTTCACATTACCTTGGACAGGATGTCCATGGATGTATCTGTTAAAGACATACTGTTAACTGATCTTCCTGCCTAACGTATGTGTTCAAATGTAATGTTCAAATTACCTCACCTCCCACATACCCCCAGCTTTACTTCCTCTTCATTCGCTCTCACTGTCTTTGGTTTGTGTAATTTCACATCGAATTTTGGTAGAACTGAACCACAAAGACAGTTGTGACATTAGCCATTTTTAGCAAAGGTAAAAAGACAGGAAAATATAAGAAAACTGACTCAGTATGCAATCAAGTTTCTTTATTGGCATCTATCATTTCATGAAGAACCTTTAACATCCATGAAAACTTTTCATTTCACAAAATGTTCTTTAGATAATTAAAGCAATCATTCACCCAAAAATGAAAATGTTACTGAACATTTACTTACCATCAAGCCAGTGAATTAGTGCCATCAGAATGACAGTCTAAACAGCGGACGAAAACATCACAATAATCCACATGAATCCAGTCCATATTGTAAAGCTAAAAGCTCCATGTTTGTTAGAAATAAATCCAAGGTGTTTTAACCTTAAACTGTCCATAATCCATAATCTACTTCCTCCAGTGACAAAGTCCATCCCCTGTTGTCCTCTAACATCAAAATCTACCGACATACAGTATTTGTTTTCACTTTTATCTTAATCTGCATATTTCTCTCCTGATTCAGACGTGACAACTTAATATTGTTGTAATGGAAATAGGACTTAAATTTTAGCCGAAAGCAATGGTTTAAAGTTAAAATAGTCTTTATGATAGATTTATTACAAACACACAGCTTTTTGCAAGATGTTGAGTTGTGTTCATTACATGTGATGCTTTTCTGATCATTCTGACGGCACCCATTCACTGCAGGATACATTGGAGAGAAAATTATGTAATACTAAATTTCTCCAAATCTGTTGTGCTGAAGAAACAAACTTATCTACATCTTGGATGGCCTGTGGGTGACTAAATTTCCAGCAAATTTTCATTTTGGGGTAAACTATTCCTTTAAATTGTTATTCTTTTAAGAACTGTTCACTGAAAGTTAAAAAAAAAAAAAAAAATCCAAAATTGTTCTTCTATGGCATTGCTGTAAAGCATACTGTAAATGTAAGCTAATACTCACCATACTCTTTAACCTGAAAATATTCTTTAATTGTTTGCTTGCTAGTCTCTACAAAAAGCTCATATGAACCAACAGCAGCCTCTGGATTCAGCGTATGGGAAAGTTGCAGAATCTTGCCATGGGTTGATGTGGCATTAATCCACTGATTGATTCTGTTCATTCGATTGTCCTGTTTATATAAGAAGGCATTGAAGACAAACAACATGGCAATAACAGGAACATTTATGCACAAAAAATGTTTCTGTAAAAGGGGGAAAACAATAAATTAAGTTTACCTGCATTGCTACGAGTTTGTACTGTGAATGTAAACAGATAACATTAGGTCTGGTTTGCATAACACTCAGAAATAATAATAATAATTTGCATTGATCAGAAATAATTGACTTTCAACCCACGGCTGTTTACTCAGAGGTCCAAGTCTGAAAGTGCATTTCAGGTACTGTATATTTGTGCAAACATGACCAATAAGGTTGGCTAAACATTTAACATTCATTATCATGCTCTTTTTACCCACAATTAAAAACTTAAAAATTGCAACCTACTGTTTCATCAATTGGCTTCAAATTTAGGTCCACTGTGAAAATCCTGAACTGAACTGTAAAATTGAGGAAGGCATTAAACACCAAGGCCAGTGAAGTGCATGTAAACAGACTGTGATCAGAGCACACTGAGGCTGAATAAAAAGCAAAATACCTGTTTGTCCAGGATTGTAGATTTGTTTATCTGTTTGAATTATTGTAAGTGGATTATATGATATGAATTTGACTTTCCTCTTTTTAATCAGATGAGTGTTTTCCCCTTGAGCTTCCACTTGGATCTCTTGCACTGAATCAGAGTCAGGAGCCTGTTGAACACATGCAGTTTTATCACAAATCAGTATCATCTTTTCTAGGGAGCAAATATCTAAGATATTAATATATTTAACCTGAAAATATTCTTTAAATGTTTTTTTGAGAGTCACAATAGACAATATTCTTCCATTTAGCTATTATAAATTAAAAAAAATATTGTTGAAATTCATGTTGTTGCATGCATATAGGATGCTCAGATTTGTTCTATGTTTACAAATACAGTTTTTAAAAAAGGAAAATATTATTTTAAGACAATGAATATGCTGTTTTAAACATCTCCAGTAGATCATTCAATAAATAACATAAATGTAATAACAGGCCTGAAAGTCAAGGCAGCGGTGGAATTCCTTCTCGGTTCTCTCCTGTAGAAGTGTTCTGTTCTGGTTAGAGTAAACCAGCGAAATAGTAAGCTGCAGATTTTCTTCTGGTTTTAGAAGGCTCACACATAGTTTAGCCTCTGAGCCTGATCTTATAACGCCTGGAAATGTCACCATGAAAATCCTGCAAAAAGAAAGTGCATGCACTTAATAACCCCCTTTTTAATGTGTGAAACTAATAATAGTCACTCTGAAATAAGAGCATGCATACAAACACACATGAAAAGACATACAAATTAATACAGGTGTACAAACAGACAAACAAATAAGTAAATAATAAAAATTGTTCTAACACTTACGGCTGAGAAGTTCCTTGATAGACAGAAAGCAATAAAACACATGGTATTAATATTCCTCTTTTGAGTAACACAAGAAAAAAAGGCATCATGAAGGGATTTGAAGACAGTTTACCAGCATCCAACCATGTCTAAAACTTTACCAAACACGTTTTGTTTATTTGACTGGTCACATAACCTCAGTGATGATTAACTGTTCAGCAGTGGCGGTACAGGATGACAGTTTTTTTCTTAAAAAGACACACACACACACACACACAAAAACATGAAACAATTCACTTATAGATAGCTACAGACCTGTTTCTCTCTTTCCATTCATAGCGAAAACACTTGAACAAGTTATTTTTAACCAGGCTTAATTTTTTCTTTCACATAATAACCAACTGGATGCTAACCAGTCAGGTTTCAGAAGTGGACATTCAACTGAGACTGCACTACTGTCAGTCACTGAAGCCTTGCGGATTGCAAAAGCTGATTCTATATCATCAGTTCTCATTCTGCTGGATCTATCTGCCGCTTTTGACACTGTGAATCATCAGATCCTCCTGTCTGCCCTCTCATCACTGGGCATCACAGGGATTCCACTTCGCTGGTTTGAATTCTATTTCACTGGAAGGTCTTTCAGGGTGGCCTGGGGAGGTGAGGTATCCAAAGCACATCAACTGGTCACTGGGGTTCCTCAGGGATCAGTTCTTGGACCCCTCCTCTTCTCCATATACACTACATCACTGGGACCCATCATACAGGCACATAGTTTCTCCTACCATTGCTACGCTGATGACACACAGCTCAATCTTTCATTTCAACCAGATGATACAACGGTAGCTGCATAGATTTTAGACTGCCTGGCAGACATCTCAGCATGGATGAAAGATCATCACCTACAGCTCAACCTGGCAAAGACAGAGCTTCTTGTCTTCCCTGCCACTCCATCTCTACAGCATAATTTCACCATCCAGCTGGCTTCATCAAAAATGACCCCATCAAGTTTGGTCAGAAATCTTGGTGTAATCTTCAATGACCAGCTGACTTTCAAAGACCACATTGCAAAAACTGCTCGTTCTTGCAGGTTTGCATTGCACAACATCAGAAAGATCAGGCCCTTTCTAACGGAGCATGCTGCACAACTTCTTGTCCAGGCCCTTGTCATTTCTAGGCTGGACTACTGCAATGCTCTTCTGGCCTGACTTCCATCATGCAAATCAAACTTCTACAAATGATTCAGAATGCAGCGGCATGACTGGTCTTCAACGAGCCCAAAATGGCCCACATCACACCTCTATTTAACTCCCTGCACTGGCTACCAGTTGCAGCTCGCATCAAGTTCAAGACATTGATGCTTGCCTATAGAACAGCCACAGGCTCAGCACCCTCCTACTTCCACTCACTCTTGAGAATCTACATCCCCTCCAGAAGTCTGAGATCTACGAGAAAGCAACGCCTCGTGGTATTATCAAAATCACTTTCCAGAACTTTTTCGTTCACCGTTCCTGGCTGGTGGAATGATCTTTCCACCCCCATCCAGAATGCTGGATCCCTGAAAATTTTCAAGCGACACCTGAAACCTAATCTCGTTCGTCAACATTTGACTTCATCCCCCCCCGCCAAAAAACGTAGCTTTCTTTTTCCTTAATCCCTCCCTGTCTAGCTTGTACAAAACTGGGCTGCATTTCCCAATAGCATCGGAAGCCTAAATTGATGACAATGGGTCTACAATCTACTTAGGCTTACAATGCTTTTGGGCAAAGCAGCCCTGAACTATGCCTGAAACTTTGTATTACGAGCATTTCCTGTGTTTATCTGCCTCTTTATGAAGAATTTCTTATTGTATTCCTCAATTGTAAGTCTAATCTAAATAATAATCATCTAAAACTACATTGCACATTCAATTAATGCAACCCCCTGTCTCTGCAGATCCTCGAATGAACTGACTAACTCACCTCATGACAGTCTTGGAGCTTGTTGTGGGACAGATCAAGTTCAACTTAGGACAACGATTTCTCTGTCGTCTCCTGCAGACAGACAGAGGCCAAGGAGGCATGGGCCCCTCAGATTTTTTAGCTATTTGAATGCAGCTTCTAAAAGACAAAAATATGTATTTTTATTTTTTATAATTAACCCTTTAAAGTGTACAATTGCACCGGTGTGATTAGAATTTTCAGTATGTCACTAAATTAAACTGCTAATTTAAAATCTGCTTTTGCACTTTAGCTGGGGCTGAGCCTGAGACAGACACTTCACAACCGTTCACTCTTTTCAATATATATATATATTTTATTACATTTAAACACACATAAGTGTTATCAGCAAACATTTGGCAATTTATAAAATATACACTGCTGTCTATGAAAGATTCAATAATCTTTCAAATAATTAGACCTTAAGGGATAGTTAACTCAAAAAATGAAAACGCTCATGTAGTTCCAAACCAGCAAGACCTTCCTTCATCTTTGGAACACAAATTAAGGTATTTTTGATTAAATCCGAGAGCTTTCTGACCCTGCATAGACAGGAAGGGATCTACATAGGCCAAGGTCAAGGCACAAAAACGTAGTAAGGAAATCATTAAAATAATCCATGTGACATCAGTGGTTTGAATTTAATTTTATGAAGCTACAAGAAAACTTAAGAATAACGAAGTTATTCAACGATTTCTTATTTTTTTCTGGGTCAGTCCGCTGCTATTCACGAGAGTACCACGACACATGTTTACAAGCACAGGAATGCATGGTACTCTCATGAATAGTGGCGGACTGACCCGGAAGAGAAGAAATCGTTGAATTAAATTGTTATTTTTGTCTTTGTGCATAAAAAGTATTCTTGTAGCTTTATAAAAATTATGGTTGAACCACTGATGTGACATGCAATTTAAACGATGTCCTTACTACATCTCTGGGCCTTGACCGTGGTAGGACCCTTGCTGTCTATGCAGGGTCAGAAAGTTCTCGGATTTCATCCAAAATATCTTAATTTGTGTTCCGAAGATGAATGAAGGTTTTATGTGTCCAAAATTTTACAAAACATTAATTTTTATGCCTCTGTTGAAATGAAATTGCCTTGTGTATGCTAGGTAATGAAGGACGCTAATTGTGAAGGACTTCAAAGAACAGCCTCTGATTCACAAAATGCACTGTACTTCTCACTGATCACCTGCATAAAGGTGCAGCCTTCAGAAGTTTCCATCGCACCAGCTCACCATGCACCTTATGCAACTGTAGATACACAGTTACCAAAAAGTTTATAAAGACAAAATGTGTCATTATTCAATATAAAATAGTTGCTAGTTTAAAGTGCAGAGTGCCAAGCCACTCATATGTCAAGTTCCCAAAATGGTGGTTTCAAATGGTGTTCAAGGCGTCCTACATGTCTAGCTTCAGTCAATGTAATGAGTTTGAGTTAGAAATGCTTGTTTTTCTGAATGATCCTGAACTAGACTTGCTTTGTCATGAAATAGTCAAATTATCTGATATTTGAAAGGGGTCATGATGACATGAGAAATCAAATTTGCCTTGATCTTTTGGCATATAAAAAGTTTTTATAGCTTAAACCTCATCCTCACTGTAAACAAAGCATTTATTTAATCAAGCTCCAAAAACAGCTCATTCGGATCTGAGAGGGCATGGTGACGTCACGGGGGAACAGCCATTTGCATAAACACTGCCTCCAGAGCAAGACATCGACGAATAGTCATCTTCTCATCATAGGCCATGCCCACTGACATCCAGTCGTTTAAAGGGGTCATATGATTCAATTTCAAATACCACCGCCCACACGTCACACTGGCGACGGGAATAAACAGTTTGAGATTAGAGATCTTGGTGCATTTTAAAGGGGTCATATGATGCGATTTCAATTTGTCCTTTCTCTTTGGAGTGTTACAAGCTGTTCGTGCATAGATAAGATCCCTAAAATTGCAAAGACTAAAGTCTCAAACCTAAAAAAATTTTTTTCATAAAAGTTAAGACTCGTCCACGCCCTCCTAAAACACCTCGTTTAAACACGCCCCCACATTCCCACTGTGTTGGAAGATTTGCATAACCCCACCCAAATGTTCACGCAAAGAAAGAAGGAGTAACTTTGATTCTCGTTGTAGTATTGTTGTCACTGCTGCCATGTCGTGGAGACGCTGTGTGTTTCGTTGTGAAAAGCGAAACTACTTTGTTTGGCCTTCCAAAAGTGGACACAACGAGAAATCAGTGGTTGAGTTATACTTACAACACTGTTCCAGAACAGTTCAACCCAAATATTCAGATGTATGCAGCGCATTTTACGGAGGACTGCTTTCTGAACCTGGGAGAGTAGCCCACAATGCTGTGCACAAAGGTTGTTTCTATAAAGTGGGGCAATTCCAACTTTGCAAGGACAGTCTGGTGCTTCTGACTCACAGCCTGTAAGTACGTTTTCATATTTAAAGGATTTGCCACTGATGATTCAAACGCGAGTTGAGCAGTGTAGTGTTTGTTGTTTCTCCGATCACAAATGCAGACATAGTTTTATGTTTACGCGGCGCGATATGCAACGCAATGCGTAAAAAGACAGTATAAGTCAATATAATCCGTAGTTATGTCCCCACTGGATGCAACAAATGCCTCGTTTGTAATGGGTTTTAATGCTTTTGTCTCATCGCGCCGGGACACGGCATCACAGTATGGTAGGGGCTTAACATTTCTGTCACACGCTTGAGGTTTTCGGCCAATCACAACGCACTGGATAGCTGGCCAATCAGAGCACACCTCGCTTTTCAGCATTTTGTTTTGTAAAAAAAGGGCACAGTGTCATGGTGAGTTCACAAAGAAACATTTGTTGAAAGATGAAGCGGTACTAGATCTGACAGTAAATTATTTCATAATGCTATTTCATAACGTTTTATTTTGATCATGTTGTCAAAACACTCACATGCAATAGAGGCATTGATACAGTTTCCTATGCAATGACGTTAGCCAATCATAACAGTGATTACTGACAAGCCTTAAAGGACACGCCCTTTAAAACGGGTCGTTTTAGACAGAGACCGCATGAGGGTTATAAATATGAATTTTTCCACATATTTTTTTTTGTTTTATGCAAAAAACTTTATTAACATTAAAAGTAAACCTCAAGGAACATTAAAATAATTTAAAAAATCCATGTCATGACCCCTTGAAGAGACGTACTGACCTTAACAGCTTCCTCATTGCACTACATGACCTTCATTTGGCAGATAATGCTTTTATTTAATTATTATTTATTTAATATTTTATCTTTTTCTATATAATTTTATAAGAATGTGGGTACCTATGATCAGATATTTTGAATAATGTGGGCAACCAAACAGTTGCTGATCCTTCATAGTATGGAGTAAAATACTATTGTCAGTCCGGACCAGAAACTATTTTAAATAGTTTTCAGTAACTTAAAGTTAAAATAAAATATAAATATTAGATGAAAAACTAAAAGTAAAGAAATAATACTAAAATAACACAGATGTGGACATATGGACTTTTTCGTATTTATCTTAAAACTTTTAGAAATTAAAATACTGCTGAATGCCTTACTACAAGCATCATTATATAATTTTATATAGTATGAGAATATTAAATAATGTCAGGACAAAGATGTTAATTTCATATTTATTTTATTTATTATATTAACTTTTTTCAATCTTCGTTTGCTCTTTTCACGAATATAGAGTAATCTATTCATAATAACGGTAACAGAGAATAGGTAAACAGCAATCAAAACAATTATATTTGTTATAAAGATAATGTTTTTGAATGTTAACGACTAACAAGCATAATATTTCTCTAAAAGCCTATATGAGCAAAAGCTTACATACATCTCAATCTTTATGTGCTTTATAATGATAAAAACACAAATGAAGAGACCTAAACATGTATAAAATAACTGGGAACCTACAAGACAATAAGAAAATTAAAGCTTTCAGCTGCATAACTATTTATGCCAATCCAATATAATAGCGGAGAGTTATATACTGAATTGGTGTGAAGACATCTGTTGTCTCTTCTGCAGCGTCACTCTTTAGGCACAGTGATTAAAGTATTCTGCTTCAGACCGCTCACCTGCAAACAAGATTAAAAAAGATTAATAAGACTTAAATGTGTATAAATAAGTGCTGAGTAATTTAAACTTACTGGTCTGGTAATAATCGTAGACTTTTACAACCGCTGGCTTGAGGTTTTTAACTGAGAAGATTTGTTTAATACGTAGTGTTTGGCGGAAGAGCATGTCCTTCTGAACCTGTTAAATATATAAAACACATTCATAATAATTTATGTTAGATTAATCAGTGCCATTATGTTTTAAAACAGATTTGATAGTTATATTATCACACTGGTTGTCATTATAAACCACACGTTAACATTCCCACCTCTTCAAGATACATGATCACGTGGTCGTTGTTGTATTCAGCATGATGTACTGCTTTCTTTAACTGTGAAAAAACAGCACAAACTTAAAATATTTGTGAAAATTTGGGGAAATGCATAGCATTTACTGTCATGGATGCTGAATTAAACGGCCTTACCGCATCCAGGGAAGAGGGCTCTAGTTTGAAACCAGATAAGAGTTTCATATCTACAATGACCATGTTAGAACTGTCTTGTGTCCCAGTATACCTGAACAGATAACAAAAAGCATAAAAATATAGAATATTTGCAATAATCAAGTAAAAACTTAAATCTTAACACTGAAGGTGTAAATCAGAATCTGCTCTTACATAATATCTAATACGACATCCAGAATTTGTCCTGTCCCGCTCTGACACAGTCCCACAGTCCTAGCAAAGATTTGTAATGCCTTAGAATCCTTGGGAGTGGGGATATTGTAGAAAAGAGACATCTAGAAGAGAGTCACATTAAAACATCTCTTTAGGCTATCATCATAATGTGGTTTTAATTTGTTTTGCTACACGTCACAGACCTGCACAGACACACAGGCTGAGCCCTTCGCTTCAATGCTGTATTTGGCTGGAACGTTCTGCAGCTGCTTCTCCTGGTACAGTAACTTGTTGTCCTGATTGACATCAAAGTGGTGAGTGTCTGCTGCTGACTGTACAGTCACTGTGCTGGAGCCATCAGAGCTGAACACTTTGGTGGCGTACAAAGATAAAGCCTGAAGAGCCACCACTGTGTCCTGAGAAATAAATGTGTTCAGTAATGTGATTTTGACCCATTATTCAGCAATCATGTGTTTGATTTGAGTAGTTTGAGTCACCTGTGTGGAGGAGAATCCTCCATAGGCATTCTGCTGCTTCACAAGCCAGCTGACAATCCTGTTAGCAAAGCCCAGATCAGCTGTAGTGAGTGAATCTGCAGTGAGAGCAGCTAGCAGCACATATGAGCTGATCTCCACTGCCAGAGAATCAGAGTCATCAGCAGATGCAGACTGAGACCAGTGGAGACGAGACCCTTTAAAAAAAGATTTGGGAACCATTATAAATTAGATTTACACTTCAAAGTGTGACAAGCACAACTTATTACAGAGCTCTTACCTTCTGAAATTCCAATGCCCATTAGCTTTTTTAAAAGATAGTCTCGAGTTGCTTTGTCTTTAGCCAGACTGAAAGTGTAGGCGAGCAGAGCAGTGGTGTAAGTGTTTCGGTTATCGCCAACAAAACGCTTTAAGTATGACAGACCTTTGCTCACAGCAGGATCCTACAACAGAAACAGTGCAGGTGACAAATATATAAGAGCCTTATAAAATAGTACAGTTTGTTTTTGACAACATAGACCGTACTGACCATAACTGATGTGTTCAGCTCGAGTAGTGATGCAGTTATATAGGCAGTGATGGTCACACCATCACTTACACCCCCCTAAAATACACAGATAGCAAATAAAGGCATCTATTATGAAAATGTTCATTTTTAAATAAGCAATTTTGGCTTTTTGTAACAAGACAAATTAACTCGAGAAGCAAAATTGCTTTAGACAATATATTTTATTTTTCTATATTATTTTCATAATGTTTTGTTCTGCTTTATACTATGGAATAAGAATGAATAAATACTCTTCATTAAAAACATATTCTTTGAAAACAACTTATATTAACAATTTGTATCTTAAATAAATATCTTGTTTTAAGAATGTTTAGATATTTGTAGTGGTAAACTGATTAGGATTTTTTTTTCACAGAAAACAAATGTTCATTGATTTATATTGAACATAAACAAACATTTCTTATATACTTTGTAATATATATTTTTTACCTTCATTCTGTTATTGAAGAGTTTTCCCCTGCTCTCATATAAACCATATGGTTTTTGGTGGCGTATCAGCCATTGCTTTGAATTCTGAATTTTAAGCAATTTTGGCTTTTTGTAACAAGACAAATTAACTCGAGAAGCAAAATTGCTTTAGACAATATATTTTATTTTTCTATATTATTTTCATAATGTTTTGTTCTGCTTTATACTATGGAATAAGAATGAATAAATACTCTTCATTAAAAACATATTCTTTGAAAACAACTTATATTAACAATTTGTATCTTAAATAAATATCTTGTTTTAAGAATGTTTAGATATTTGTAGTGGTAAACTGATTAGGATTTTTTTTTCACAGAAAACAAATGTTCATTGATTTATATTGAACATAAACATTTCTTATATACTTTGTAATATATATTTTTTTACCTTCATTCTGTTATTGAAGAGTTTTCCCCTGCTCTCATATAAACCATCTGGTCTTTGGTGGCGTATCAGCCATTGCTTTGAATTCTGAATTTTTTGGGGGTCAATAAAGATGTAACGCTGTGCTTTCCCGAAAGTCCTCAGCACAAATGTGGTCAGCCTGTCAGTTGAATTCAATTTAATGCTTTTATTCAGACTCATCTGGAGATTTGTAATGTGTTTTTTAAGATTTTATTACCATCTTTTGAAATAATATTCATTGCTGGACATTTTTAGTGGAAAACTGACTAAGTTCCCTGATTTATATAAATATTTGTAATATTTTTTACCTTCATTCTGTTATTGAAGAGTTTTCCCCTGCTCTCATATAAACCATATGGTTTTTGGTGGCGTATCAGCCATTGCTTTGAATTCTGAATTTTTTGGGGGTCAATAAAGATGTAACGCTGTGCTTTCCCGAAAGTCCTCAGCACAAATGTGGTCAGCCTGTTAGTTGAATTCAATTTAATGCTTTTATTCAGACTCATCTGGAGATTTGTAATGTGTTTTTTAAGATTTTATTACCATCTTTTGAAATAATATTCATTGCTGGACATTTGGGTTTTGTGCAATGGTTAATTTGTGAGGTTAAAACAGTTCATACCATGTATTTCCTTCTCCCTTTTTAAATGTAGAATATGATCCATCCAAGTTCTCATAGTTGAGTTGCTTTTGATACCCTGTTCAATATTTTGGTTCAGATTATTTTCCTCAAATGTAATGAAAAAACATTTTAAGCATAATGAAATGATTCTAAATGGCATCTCACCGCTCTTAAGGAAGCCGGTGGCTCTCTCTCGGATGGCTGAGGTGAGCTGCTCTGTGTTTTCCAGATACTGCAGAATGTAAATATTGGGAGAAAGAACAGCAATGTTTTGTTCTCCAAAGCCATACGGCATCTGTAATAATCTGTCAAGATTCCTCAGTGCACAACCCAATATGTCTCCTGCAAGAGGACATGTGATTGTAAATTTCTACATCAAAAATATTTACAAGACAGTATTGATTTTAAGTTATGGCTTTTTTTCTTCACCAATCACTGAAAGAGCAACTTTTCCTGATCCCTCTATCATATTTTTGGGAAATGCTAGATCCACTTCCTCCAAGAGGTTTTGCCCTGTAGATGAAGGCACAAGAGCAATTCATAAAGTTGGAAGCAGATTTAAAATGATCTTTTTGAAACATTGTATGTGGCATAAAAGTTCACAAACATTACCTTTGGGACAAAGCAGCCAGCTGTGGCTGTTAGTCTTTTCAATTCCTTCAGCCTGAGGAACACAGGTTAATGTTAGCACAATTTAGCTTTTTTTGGTCTTTAACTGCAATGTAAAGGAAGAGTTTTAGATAATATAACTTGCATTAATGCATTGTATTTGCAATACGTTTATAATACGTTTTTACCCACATTTACACGCAAGCTTTGTGTGACCGTGTCAATGCGTCCTCTCTCTGGCACGTTCACAATCTCATTGTCACACACAGTCTGGGACGCCTCTGCCTCTGCACTGACTGTAATATTCAAGACTCCTACAACACAAGACATGTATGTGAAGATACAACAGACACAAACACTGAGAAACAATGATTCAGGCTGGAAAACTCACCAAGAACAGAAGGAGTGAGGATCCATTTAAAGGTTTTTCTTCCATTAGCACACAGACAGGATGAATACTGATCATCAGAGGAGGCTTTGAGAGTGTAGTCTAAGGAAGGAGCTGGAGTCACTTTAACCTGTCAGTCAAACACACATGATTAGTGGCAGTGGCAGCTAGTGCTAAAAAATTTCGGAGAACTGAAAATTCAAAAACTGAATCACAACGCTAATGCAAGACTGAATTAAATTGTTAAATAACCATTTAACAAGTGACATAATGGACCCTTTTCACATTTCCGGGTTTCTTAGCAGCGGAAGTCGTCATATTTGGGTTCACTTAAAGAGCAGTGAATAGGAGTACCACAAATATATTTTTTGCATTCGCATTTGCTCAAATAGCAAAAGAAAAACATCAAACCACGATAGTGTTTTCACGACTTTCAAAAAAAAAAAGAAAAAAAATTTAGGGAGAGACTGATTATGGCAGTTAGAAGAGAGAACGATGTCAAATTTACCATCCCCCCTATAGATGCTGCATTAGAAACACCTTATTAGCCTTAACTAGTTTTTTTTGGTAATTTGATGCAAAAGTGATATAATACAAAGTATAGTGTTATAAATGTACACACATTTTAAAAAATGTCCTTTGCCAAGAGAATCCATCCACCTCACAGGTGTGGCATATCAAGATGCTGATTAGACAGCATGATTATTGCACAGGTGTGCCTTAGGCTGGCCACAATAAAAGGCCACTCTAAAATGTGCAGTTTTATTACACAGCACAACGCCACAGATGTCGCAAGTTTTGAGGGAGCGTGCAATTGGCATGCTGACTGCAGGAATGTCCACCAGAGCTGTTGCCCGTGAACTGAATGTTAATTTCTTTACTATAAGCCGTCTCCAAAGGCGTTTCAGAGAATTTGGCAGTGCATCCAACTGGCCTCACAACCGCAGACCACGTGTAACCACACCAGCCCAGGACCTCCACATCCAGCATCTTCACCTCCAAGATCGTCTGAGACCAGCCACCCGGACAGCTGCTGCAACAATCGGTTAGCATAACCAAAGAATTTCAGCACAAACTGTCAGAAACCATCTCATGGAAGCTCATCTGTATGCTCGTCATCCTCATCGGGGTCTCGACCTGACTGCAGTTCGTCATCATAACGACTTGAGTGGGCAAATGCTCACATTCGATGGCGTCTGGCACTTTGGAGAGGTGTTCTCTTCACGGATGAATCCCGTTTTTCACTGTACAGGGCAGATGGCAGACAGTGTGTATGGCGTCGTGTGGGTGAGCGGTTTGCTGATGTCAACGTTGTGGATCGAGTGGCCCATGGTGGCGGTGGGGTTATGGTATGGGCAGGCGTTTGTTATGGACAACGAACACAGGTGCATTTTATTGATGGCATTTTGAATGCACAGAGATACCGTGACGAGATCCTGAGGCCCATTGTTGTGCCATTCATCCACGACCATCACCTCATGCTGCAGCATGATAATGCACGGCCCCATGTTGCAAGTATCTGTACACAATTCCTGGAAGCTGAAAACATCCCAATTCTTGTATGGCCAGCATACTCACCGGACATGCCACCCATTGAGCATGTTTGGGATGCTCTGGATTGGCGTATACGACAGCGTGTTCCAGTTCCTGCCAATATCCAGCAACTTCACACAGCCATTGAAGAGGAGTGGACCAACATTCCACAGGCCACAATCAACAACCTGATCAACTCTATGCGAAGGGGATGTATTGCACTGCGTGAGGCAAATCATGGTCACACAAGATACTGACTGGTTTTCGGACCCACCCAGACCCCCCAATACAGTAAAACTGCACATTTTAGAGTGGCCTTTTATTGTGGCCAGCCTAAGGCACACCTGTGCAATAATCATGCTGTCTAATCAGTATCTTGATATGCCACACCTGTGAGGTGGATGGATTATCTCGGTAAAGGAGAAGTGCTCACTAACACAGATTTAGACAGATTTGTGAACAATATTTGAGAGAAATAGGCCTTTTTTGTACATAGAAAAAGTCTTAGATCTTTGAGTTCAGCTCATGAAAAATGGGGGCAAAAACAAAAGTGTATAATTTTGTTCAGTGTAGTTCAATAAATTGACTTGTAGAAAAAAATGCATATAAATTCATTATATTTTCATAAAGTTTAAAAAAGCCCAATATAATAAGTATGCAAAATCTGTAATCTCCTAATTACTTATAGACCATTGACAATATATTTGTCAAGTTGTCAGACATAACTGAATGATCGCTAAAATCAAAAGTGGGAGGGTCTGGGGCGCAGAGCGGACGATCTGAAACAAGCCAATTAGAAATCAGCCTCAAGTGACGTGCATTTCAAAAGTTCACAAACCTAACAGACACCATTTGTCCGGCATGCCACACAAACAAAATAATTGAAATACAGTTTTGAGTTTTGATTTTTAATAGTGTCTCTTTATGAGACAACCTGTCAAATAGTATGACTAAATAATGCAATTTCATTATTTTTTTGCAATATATTTAACTTAGTTTTAACATGTTGAAGTAGGCTTCTTCTCTGGCTAAATTAATAGAAGTGGCGCCCCCTATTGACCAGCTGATTAGTGCCATATTTTATATGATTGGATAAGACTGAGGCCCTGTCCACACGAACGTGGTTATTTTTAAAACCGCAGCTTTTTCTACGTGGTTTGGCCGTTCGTCCACACGCAAACGCAGCAAGGAAAAGCTCTGTTTATAAAAATACCCATGCACGTGTGGACATGGCTTGAATCTGAAGTCTTACCATAATGCACTTGGACAGATAGTTGAAGACAGTGGCCTTCAGCTCAAAGATCTCCCCACGGATGATGGAGTAAGGCAGAGAGAGTTCCAGGAAGAAGGGCTGGAAAACTATCAGCTGAGCAGGAGGAGCCAGACCCAGACCTTTGGAGGACAGACAGAAGGCCTCCGTCTCCCAAGAGGTGATAGTGTCAGGAACTGTAACAGGAACCTGAGCTGATCCAGAGTCCCTGAAGAGAAATTTGCATTTATTAACATGACATTTACCAATCGAGTACCAAAAATATTTTAAGTTGGTGGGTAGCACCTTCAGACTTTTAACTCATCATTCACTCACCCCGTCTCAACAAGTTCCCAGATCCAAGTTTCTGGGAAGAATGTGCGAATGGTTTCTTCAGGACTGAGAGGTGTGTTCTCAGTTCCTGTGCCTGGGATGTAGCAGATCCATGAAATTGACCATTGACCAAAAAAATAAATAAAAAAGAGAATAAACAAGGAAAACCTGAATCACTCCATTATGTACTGTAAGTATTTATTAATTTATGAATGTCTTAATTTTTGCTTTTTCAATGTGGAAAACCGCAGGGAGAATCTCACGTTTTTATTAATTTCTATACTATTCTTATTAACATTTTGGGAAGATGGTTTGGAGCATTAACTGCAAACCCAGATAGTGTATCTAAACTGTCGGTTAGCTTTCCTTCTTACTGGCAGTTATACTCTATAGCTGTCACGATCACCAGCTGGAGTGCCCATGAGCTCCACTGGAGGGCAATCCTTACTACTCCTTTGCCATTCCGTCACAGACTACATTTCCCATAAACCTTTGCCTGGACTTATTGTTGTGTGACTACTTCCACCTGTGTGTCATTAGCTTGCTAAGTCTATGTGTATATAAGGTCTGTGCTTCAGTTGTGGTTTATCAGTCGTTGCTTCCTGTACGTGTGTTTCTGGTTTAGTTGTGTGTATGTTCCTGACTCCTCTATGTGGATTGTACCCTGGTTCGTGGATTGGATTATTTGTTTTTTGTGTTTAATAAACCCCTGTGCTTGCATTTGGATTCTCGCTCCTCTTTGTCCTGGCTTACATGTTACAGAACGACCGACCAATTATGAATCCAGCAGCACAAATGATATGTCTCAATCAAGGAGATCGGCCCATCAAGGACTACGTGACAGACTTTGTTGAGCTAGCACATTTGACTGGCATGGACAAGGTATGCTTGATGATATTTTTTCATGGTGGTTGTGTTGTGTTGTGGAGGAGGAACACGGCACTCCTGCAGTATCTGCCTCGTCCCATCATGGCCGCCTGTCCAGAGTCTCTTCCCAAGGTGGCCGCCATCTCAGAGTCTTGTCGTCCTGGTCGTCATGAATGTTGCGAATGAAGTCATTAAGGTGGGCCCTAGGCGTTTGAGACCGTCTTCTAGTTTGGAGGACACTCCACTGACTTCAGTGCGAGCAGCTGGCATCTCTGCGGTAATGTCAAGCCTGGGGTTCTCCGAGGTGGTCCCGCTGTCTTATGCACTCCCTGTTACGGCAATGGCTATTGTGTGTGTTTGGGCTACACAGTGCTCTGCTACTTCTCCAGAGCTCGTTCCAGTCTGAGCCTGATCCAGAGCCCACTCCAGTCCTTGAATCTGCTCCAGAGCCTGCTCCAGACTACGAGTCTGCTCCAGCTTCTCCCGAGGTGGCAGCTTATGCTGCAGAACCTCCCAAGGCTGCGGTGTCAGCTTCAGCTCCTCTCATGGCAGTGGTGCCAACTTCAGAACCCTCCGTCTACCATATCACTGCCAAGGAGACTGTTTATGAACTCTCTGCCTGTCCTGTCACGGCTATGGAGGCCTTATGTGAACTCTCTGCCTGTCCTGTCAAGGCTATGGATGCTGTATGTGAACTCTCTGCCTGTCCCGTTACGGCTATGGAGGTCGTTAATGAACATTCAGTCCTGTCTATCACAGCTGAGGAGATTATCAATGAACTCGCGGCTCCTTCTGCCTCGGTATTTGGGGCCATAAGTAAACTGCCTGTTTCCTATGTTTCAGTTCCTCCGAGGTCTCAACCCTGGTTTCCTCATCCATCTGCTCTGCTGTGGTGGTCTTCTACTTTGCCTGCTTCGCCGTGGTGGTCTTCTGCTCCGCCTTGGTGGTCCTCAGTTCCGCCTGTTCTGCTGGCTCCGCCCTGGCTCTCTGCCCTGCCGGCTCTGCCCTGGTGCTCTTCAGCCCAGCCTGCTCTGCCTTGGTGGTCTTCAGCTCTGCTCTGGTTCTCTTCAGCCCCGCCTGCTCCGCCTTGGTGGTCTTCAGCTCTGCTCTGGTGGTCTTCTGCTCCACCCTGGCTCCCTGATCCGCCGACTCTGCCTCAGTTCCTCCATTACATGGAAGTGCTCTGCTACTTCTCCAGAGCTCGTTCCAGTCTGAGCCTGATCCAGAGCCCACTCCAGTCCTTGAATCTGCTCCAGAGCCTGCTCCAGACTACGAGTCTGCTCCAGCTTCTCCCGAGGTGGCAGCTTATGCTGCAGAACCTCCCAAGGCTGCGGTGTCAGCTTCAGCTCCTCTCATGGCAGTGGTGCCAACTTCAGAACCCTCCGTCTACCATATCACTGCCAAGGAGACTGTTTATGAACTCTCTGCCTGTCCTGTCACGGCTATGGAGGCCTTATGTGAACTCTCTGCCTGTCCTGTCAAGGCTATGGATGCTGTATGTGAACTCTCTGCCTGTCCCGTTACGGCTATGGAGGTCGTTAATGAACATTCAGTCCTGTCTATCACAGCTGAGGAGATTATCAATGAACTCGCGGCTCCTTCTGCCTCGGTATTTGGGGCCATAAGTAAACTGCCTGTTTCCTATATTTCAGTTCCTCCGAGGTCTCAACCCTGGTTTCCTCATCCATCTGCTCTGCTGTGGTGGTCTTCTACTTTGCCTGCTTCGCCGTGGTGGTCTTCTGCTCCGCCTTGGTGGTCCTCAGTTCCGCCTGTTCTGCTGGCTCCGCCCTGGCTCTCTGCCCTGCCGGCTCTGCCCTGGTGCTCTTCAGCCCAGCCTGCTCTGCCTTGGTGGTCTTCAGCTCTGCTCTGGTTCTCTTCAGCCCCGCCTGCTCCGCCTTGGTGGTCTTCAGCTCTGCTCTGGTGGTCTTCTGCTCCACCCTGGCTCCCTGATCCGCCGACTCTGCCTCAGTTCCTCCATTACATGGACCTGGCCCTCCATCCCTCCCCCTATTCCGCCTCCACTCCACCTCCCTCCTGGACTTATGTCAGTTCTTATTTCTTTTATTTTGTTTTTTTTAAAGTCAAAATCAGATCCTGGCGCCACAAGCCTGAAGCAAGTCCACCAACTAGCAGCTTTGAGTAGCTCACAGCATTTAAACAAAAGAACACTTATTGACAATTCCAAGGAGATTGTCAATTTTGGGGCAAGCAAGATTAATGGTCAAAGAAATGCACAGCATGACCATCACATGTAAACCAGTGATAGTAATCACGATCACTAGCTCTTTGGATTGACTTTCCCCCCACCTAGAAGACAAAGAACAGACTGAGATTCCTTATGAGAGACCTCTTAACCTCTGGTCTTCACAGAACATGTCCTTATGTTCAGAGAAATGGTACTGAAACTGTCTTTTACAGATGTAGATGTACCAAAATGAACTCAAAAAGGCTTATAAACTAATATCAGTCCATTGCTTAACTCCATATCATGTATCTAACCCACACATTAGACTATCATGTTTTAATCACGTATTGTGTATGTCTTTTGATTTATGAATTGGGAGGAGAAATATTGCAAAACCCCGAGCTACAATTGGTCGAGGCACCATTTGGGGTGTGTTAAACAGCCTGGTTTAAATACTCAGGACACCATCAAATTATTGCTCTTTTTAGTTATGTGCTTTCAAGTCATCACTTTTAGCCATGCGGCTTTTTAGTCATAGCTTTGAGCTATGCTTTTTAGTCATCGCCTTTTTAGCTCTTTAGCTTTTGTGGTCATGGCTTCTAGCTGTGCTTTTCAGTCATCGCTTTTTGCGCTCTTTGAGCGTGCTCTGGCTTACACGCCAGCTCCTCCAAAACCATGAGGAGAAACGCCACCTAGTCTCGTCAAACTTTACTTCTATTTCTTTACTTTAGTTTATTTTCTTTTCCGTTGAGAGTTTCGTGTTCGGAGTTAAGTTTTGCCTAACGCCACGTCGCCAAGTCCGACCTCTAGTGCCGTCTAAAACTTCAACCAGCCCACAGCAACTCCGCATTGTCAGCCAACGCCCAACCACTGGCTTCCCAAGACTGAACTTCCAGCCAATCAGCAACCGCAGGAAACCCCCTTTTCTGCAAGGATGACAACAAAGGGAACCCCCGTACACAGGCAACGCAAGTACCTCCAGATTCTAGCTGAACTGGTGCACTTAATATAAATTTTAACCTCACTGAGGAACTCAATTCGAGGGTTAATTAAGTGATTGGTGGTTGTTCAGGTCTATGCAATGGCACATATTGCTGTAAACTTGGAATTTCACATTTTCATTTCCTTAAACTCATTCTTTCCTTACTTTCTCGCTTTCTGCAACTTGTGTGAATGTGTGAATGCGTGTGTTCATGTGTTAGATTAGTTTATATGTCTTAGATTTATCCAATAAAGCCTTATTTATATTGAAAAGAGAAGTATCTTGTGTTTTGTGCTTACAAGTTAATGTCTTAAACTGCCGATCTTGTTACTGTGCTAATAAATAGTGCTTTCACTATACTTTGGATATTAATATCCATTGCAGAATTTATGTTATACGGCTCGTTCAATGAATCGCTGGCCGTCTCAGTGATCAGCCGTAAAACAGTAATTCTGTCCAAATTCCCTTTAAAATCATAAATGATTCCCTTTGAGCTAAATTGACCCATTTCCCTTACAATAGTGTTGCTATTATGACATATCTTCAATTAAAATTTGGGCAAGTAAATATTCATATAATGCATGTAAATCATAGACCAAAAGTACATTTCAGATGAATGTATTTTACTGGGATTCAGCTTTGTCTATAATTAGTTATTTAATTATTCAAATAATTATAAAATTACTATTTTAAATTGTTGATTAAGCTTTATATTTAAAAATGCTGAATATACTGTATATAGTGACACCGTCACACAGGACACGTTTTAATCCACTCAATATGTATTATGATGGTTATATATATATATACATATACAGTATATAGTGTTGGGGAGTAACTAGTTACATGTAACAGAATTACGTAATCAGTTACAGTTACTGAGAAAAATGTGTAATTAAATTACAGTTACTCATGAAAATGTTAAAGATTACAAAGGGGGTTACATCTGAATTTTTTTCACACACACCTCCACATACAGATTTTATTGAATTCTTTCCCAAATTGCATTGACTGCTCTAAAATATGAGACACCAATGTTTCAGGAGTTTAGGACACAGAATAGGACACGTTTATACGATGACTTTTATTTCTTATTTGGGTTTATGTATATGCTTTTTTTTTTAAGAATAACTGTTAGATGCCTGTGTTTCCAGTCATAGCTATGCAAAGATTTTATTTCAAAAACAGCATAATAGATATTAGACTATTTCTTGCTATGGTTTAAAATTTGTATTTAACCTCAGAATGATCTCAAAGTAAAAAGCTCTGAGACATTGAAAACTCTGGACCATGAGCTGCTTGTGTGTAAATGAAAACAGCATGCAGCACATCAGAATATATATATATATATATATATATACACCATGGACATGTTCTAAAAATAAACTGTAATAATAAATGTTCTGTTGAATTCCAGGCCATGGTTTTATGGATTTTGGTTGCCCTCAAGCATATCCAGATGCCAAGCCAGGAGTTGTAGGTATGCCGGGTCCACCAGGTCCAATGGGTCCAATGGGTCCAATGGGTCCATTAGGTCCATTGAGTCCATTGGGTCCAATGGGTCGAGGAGGTTCAGCTGGAGGAGCTGGAATTGTAGAAGGTCAGGAATATGATTTCTCCCTGTTTATATATATATTTTTTAAAATTCCTATCTGAGAAGCATGACCAATGTGAATCTCAAAATGGCACAAAACAATTACTAAAACTGCAAAAGACTCTATTCCCCTGAAGCGCTTGTAGTGTGTACAGTTTCTTTGTTTTGCCACACTGTGAACTTTAAAATGTGGAAACAATAAAATGGTGCTATAGCATTGTAATCGAGGGTTGACACCAAACGGTCTGCTGTTTCAGGACCCTTGTTCTATGGGAGCATTGTGAAAACCCCCTTTATGGAACATCTTTGTTACTTGTGTAACCCTCGTTCCCTGAAGGAGGTAACGGAGCCGTCATATCGTGACCGACGAATTTGGAATCTCGCCAGAGAGGCCAATCTACTTTGAATGTAAACTAAACAAGCCAATGCATATGATATTTGGACCCAAAAACCCAACTGGCTGAGGTGACTGAGCACCAGATCTCTGTGTTCACATAACTGATCCCGTGACTGTGCCAGTATGAGCCAGTCGTCATGATAGTTGAGAATGAGTACGCAGAGTTCTCTCATGAGAACAAGGGCCTCCTCCACTACTTTTGTGAAGACGCAGGGCGACAGGGACAGCCTGAAGGGCAGGACCTTGTAATGATATGTTCGACCCTCGAACGCAAAGCGCACAAACGGCCTGTGTTGAGGGAGAATCAAGACATGAAAGTACGCATCCTTCAGGTCAATCGCTACAAACCATGGTTTAAGTTTCCACATGAGCCCACCCTCTCGGCAGCCCGGGAAAGCATAGCCGTCATCTCTGGGTCTGATTCAGACAATGCTACCATTCCCGAGGGAGGCAACGCAGCCGATTCATCATCCCTGGAGAGAATGGAATCTCCCTCGGAAAATTGATTATGTTGCACCTGCTGCCTATTTATACCCACACTGCAGGGCGTGGCAGATGCAATTATTGCATGTCAATGTGCATTGACTCATTTAGTTTACACTCAAAGTAGATTGGTCTCTCTGGCGAGATTCCCGATTTGTCGGTCATGATGTGACGTCGAAAGTGACCAACTGAAAGAGAACCTTTATTTTAAAGAGCATACTGTGAAAGTAAGCTAATACTCACCATACTCCTTGACATAAATTTTTTTGGTAATTGTTTGCTTGCTAGTCTCTACAAAAAGCTCATATGAACCAACAGCAGCCTCTGGATTCAGCGTATGTGAAAGTTGCAGAATCTAGCCATGGGTTGATGTGGCATTAATCCACTGATTGATTCTGTTCATTCGATTGTCCTGCTTATATGAGAAGGCATTGAAGACAAACAACATGGCAATAACAGGAACATTTATGCAGGAAAATGTGTCTGTGAAAGGGGGAAAACAAAAAATGAAGTTTACCTGCACTGTTATGAGTTTGTACTGTGGATGAAAACACATAACATTAGGCCTGGTTTGCATAACACTCATTGATCAGAAATTGAATTTTAACCCACGGCTGTTTACTCTGAGGTCCAAGTCTGAAAGTGCATTTCAGGTATATTTGTGCACACATATGCAAACATGACCAATAAAGTCAGCTAAATATTTAACCAATATCATGCCATATTGACCCACAATTAAAAACTAAAAAATTGCAACCTACTGTTTCATCAACTGGTTTAAAATTTAGGTCCACTGTGAAAATCCTGACCTGAACTGTAAAATTGAGGAAGACGAAAAACATTAAGGTCAGTAAAGCATGAAAACAGACTGTGATCAGAGTGCAATGAGGCTGAATATAAAGCAAAAATACCAGTTTGTCCAGGATTGTAGATTTGTTTATCTGTTTGAATTATTGTAAGTGGATTATATGACATGAATTTGACTTTTCTCTTTTCAATCATTTGAGTGTTTTTCCCTTGAGCTTCGACTTGGATCTCTTGCACTGAATCAGACTCAGGAGCCTGTTGAACACACACAGTTGTATTACAAATCAGTATCATCTCTTAAGAGAGCAAGTTTATATTAATATATTTGATATTAAAATATTTCACTTGAAAATATTCTTTAATTATCTGTTTATCTGTTTGAATTATTGTAAGTGGATTATATGACATGAATTTGACTTTTCTCTTTTCAATCATTTGAGTGTTTTTCCCTTGAGCTTCGACTTGGATCTCTTGCACTGAATCAGACTCAGGAGCCTGTTGAACACACGCAGTTGTATTACAAATCAGTATCATCTCTTAAGAGAGCAAGTTTATATTAATATATTTGATATTAAAATATTTCACTTGAAAATATTCTTTAATTATTGTTTTGCCAGTCTCGATAGACAATATTTTTTCATAACAATATTACAAATGACAAAATGATTTCTGGAATTCATGGTGTTGCATGCATAGAATGCTCGAATTTCTTCTATATCTACAATATTAACAAATGCATTTTGTAAATGGATATGCTGTTTTAAACATCTCCAGTAGATCATTCAATAAATAACATAAATGTAATAACAGGCCTGAAAGTCAAGGCAGCGGTGGAATTCCTTCTCAGTTCTCTCCTGTAGAAGTGTTCTCTTCTGGTTAGAGTAAACCAGCAAAATAGTAAGCTGCAGATTTTCTTCTGGTTTTAGAAGGCTTACACATAGTTTAGCCTCCGAGCCTGATCTTATAACACCTGGAAATGTCACCATGAAAATTCTGCAAAGAGAAAGTGCATGCACTTAATAACCCCCTTTTTAATGTGTGAAGCTAATGATAGTTATTCTGAGATAAGAGCATGCATACAAACACACATGAAAGGATATACAAATGAAGACAGATTATATTTAACAAAAAAAAGGTTCTAACACTTACGGCCTAGAGGTTCCTTGATAGACAGAAATCAGTAAAACACATGTTATTAATATTACTCTTTTAAGTAACACAATAAAAAAAGCCATCATGAAGGGATGTGAAGAGCAAGAAGTGTTTACAAATGTCTAAACCTTTTACAAAAAGGTAAATGTTTATTTGACTTTTCACTTGACCTCAGTGATGATTAACTGTAGGTTACTCACGTAACCCAGGTTCTCTGAGAACATGAGTGAGGTGTCTCACTATGCGAATCGCCTCGGACGTGACCAATCCTGGAAGCACCAATTACACCACATCTGTCAGTTGACAGACCAATCACGAAAGTGATGTGGGAGTCCCGCCTCCCCAATATATATCACTGCATAACGGTCCCTACCTCATTCTCAGCATATCTCTTCCCTGTGCTTGGAGGGAAGTGTGGTAAAACACCTCACTCATGTTATCAGAGAAAAGGAGTTACATGAGTAACCTAAAGTTCTCTTTCAAAAATTCATTCGGTATCTCACTATGGGATATAGACAACTCTCGTATTGCAGATTTGCTGTCTGAAGCAGGCATGTCAACCAACTCAGTGTGATGATGTGTGATAATATAAGAATGCAAGCTCTCCACTATTAACAGAATAGAATGGAGACATGTGAAAAATAAAGCATCTGTATGAGTGTTTTTTTTTTTTTTTTTTTACACACTTAGGACGGAATGGGCCAACGATGGCTCTATAACATCCAGCCTATAAAATCTGACAAAAGCGTGTCACCGCTGCACAAATGTCTTGAATTGAAACGCCCTTAAACAACATCCACGAGGTGGCCAAACCTTGGGTACTATGAGCCCTCAGCCCCTCTGGAGAACAAAGAACCATGCTATTATAACCCAATATGATAGCTCACACTACCCAGTGGGACAGGCGCTGATGAAAAATAGGTTTACCCCTATGAGAATCAGCCCACGAGACAAATAGCAGATTACTTTTCCGCAGCGCTTTCGTTCTGTTTCATCGCAATGCAACACACGGACAGGGCACAAACAATGAAGCCACTCTTCTTCTGGCACGAATGCTGGATTAGTTTTGAGAGACACTCTCGAGTAATCCATAGCGTAAATAGTGCTTTCACTATACTTTGGATATTAATATCCATTGCAGAATTTATGTTATACGGCTCGTTCAATGAATCGCTGGCCGTCTCAGTGATCAGCCGTAAAACAGTAATTCTGTCCAAATTCCCTTTAAAATCATAAATGATTCCCTTTGAGCTAAATTGACCCATTTCCCTTACAATAGTGTTGCTATTATGACATATCTTCAATTAAAATTTGGGCAAGTAAATATTCATATAATGCATGTAAATCATAGACCAAAAGTACATTTCAGATGAATGTATTTTACTGGGATTCAGCTTTGTCTATAATTAGTTATTTAATTATTCAAATAATTATAAAATTACTATTTTAAATTGTTGATTAAGCTTTATATTTAAAAATGCTGAATATACTGTATATAGTGACACCGTCACACAGGACACGTTTTAATCCACTCAATATGTATTATGATGGTTATATATATATATACATATACAGTATATAGTGTTGGGGAGTAACTAGTTACATGTAACAGAATTACGTAATCAGTTACAGTTACTGAGAAAAATGTGTAATTAAATTACAGTTACTCATGAAAATGTTAAAGATTACAAAGGGGGTTACATCTGAATTTTTTTCACACACACCTCCACATACAGATTTTATTGAATTCTTTCCCAAATTGCATTGACTGCTCTAAAATATGAGACACCAATGTTTCAGGAGTTTAGGACACAGAATAGGACACGTTTATACGATGACTTTTATTTCTTATTTGGGTTTATGTATATGCTTTTTTTTTTAAGAATAACTGTTAGATGCCTGTGTTTCCAGTCATAGCTATGCAAAGATTTTATTTCAAAAACAGCATAATAGATATTAGACTATTTCTTGCTATGGTTTAAAATTTGTATTTAACCTCAGAATGATCTCAAAGTAAAAAGCTCTGAGACATTGAAAACTCTGGACCATGAGCTGCTTGTGTGTAAATGAAAACAGCATGCAGCACATCAGAATATATATATATATATATATATATACACCATGGACATGTTCTAAAAATAAACTGTAATAATAAATGTTCTGTTGAATTCCAGGCCATGGTTTTATGGATTTTGGTTGCCCTCAAGCATATCCAGATGCCAAGCCAGGAGTTGTAGGTATGCCGGGTCCACCAGGTCCAATGGGTCCAATGGGTCCAATGGGTCCATTAGGTCCATTGAGTCCATTGGGTCCAATGGGTCGAGGAGGTTCAGCTGGAGGAGCTGGAATTGTAGAAGGTCAGGAATATGATTTCTCCCTGTTTATATATATATTTTTTAAAATTCCTATCTGAGAAGCATGACCAATGTGAATCTCAAAATGGCACAAAACAATTACTAAAACTGCAAAAGACTCTATTCCCCTGAAGCGCTTGTAGTGTGTACAGTTTCTTTGTTTTGCCACACTGTGAACTTTAAAATGTGGAAACAATAAAATGGTGCTATAGCATTGTAATCGAGGGTTGACACCAAACGGTCTGCTGTTTCAGGACCCTTGTTCTATGGGAGCATTGTGAAAACCCCCTTTATGGAACATCTTTGTTACTTGTGTAACCCTCGTTCCCTGAAGGAGGTAACGGAGCCGTCATATCGTGACCGACGAATTTGGAATCTCGCCAGAGAGGCCAATCTACTTTGAATGTAAACTAAACAAGCCAATGCATATGATATTTGGACCCAAAAACCCAACTGGCTGAGGTGACTGAGCACCAGATCTCTGTGTTCACATAACTGATCCCGTGACTGTGCCAGTATGAGCCAGTCGTCATGATAGTTGAGAATGAGTACGCAGAGTTCTCTCATGAGAACAAGGGCCTCCTCCACTACTTTTGTGAAGACGCAGGGCGACAGGGACAGCCTGAAGGGCAGGACCTTGTAATGATATGTTCGACCCTCGAACGCAAAGCGCACAAACGGCCTGTGTTGAGGGAGAATCAAGACATGAAAGTACGCATCCTTCAGGTCAATCGCTACAAACCATGGTTTAAGTTTCCACATGAGCCCACCCTCTCGGCAGCCCGGGAAAGCATAGCCGTCATCTCTGGGTCTGATTCAGACAATGCTACCATTCCCGAGGGAGGCAACGCAGCCGATTCATCATCCCTGGAGAGAATGGAATCTCCCTCGGAAAATTGATTATGTTGCACCTGCTGCCTATTTATACCCACACTGCAGGGCGTGGCAGATGCAATTATTGCATGTCAATGTGCATTGACTCATTTAGTTTACACTCAAAGTAGATTGGTCTCTCTGGCGAGATTCCCGATTTGTCGGTCATGATGTGACGTCGAAAGTGACCAACTGAAAGAGAACCTTTATTTTAAAGAGCATACTGTGAAAGTAAGCTAATACTCACCATACTCCTTGACATAAATTTTTTTGGTAATTGTTTGCTTGCTAGTCTCTACAAAAAGCTCATATGAACCAACAGCAGCCTCTGGATTCAGCGTATGTGAAAGTTGCAGAATCTAGCCATGGGTTGATGTGGCATTAATCCACTGATTGATTCTGTTCATTCGATTGTCCTGCTTATATGAGAAGGCATTGAAGACAAACAACATGGCAATAACAGGAACATTTATGCAGGAAAATGTGTCTGTGAAAGGGGGAAAACAAAAAATGAAGTTTACCTGCACTGTTATGAGTTTGTACTGTGGATGAAAACACATAACATTAGGCCTGGTTTGCATAACACTCATTGATCAGAAATTGAATTTTAACCCACGGCTGTTTACTCTGAGGTCCAAGTCTGAAAGTGCATTTCAGGTATATTTGTGCACACATATGCAAACATGACCAATAAAGTCAGCTAAATATTTAACCAATATCATGCCATATTGACCCACAATTAAAAACTAAAAAATTGCAACCTACTGTTTCATCAACTGGTTTAAAATTTAGGTCCACTGTGAAAATCCTGACCTGAACTGTAAAATTGAGGAAGACGAAAAACATTAAGGTCAGTAAAGCATGAAAACAGACTGTGATCAGAGTGCAATGAGGCTGAATATAAAGCAAAAATACCAGTTTGTCCAGGATTGTAGATTTGTTTATCTGTTTGAATTATTGTAAGTGGATTATATGACATGAATTTGACTTTTCTCTTTTCAATCATTTGAGTGTTTTTCCCTTGAGCTTCGACTTGGATCTCTTGCACTGAATCAGACTCAGGAGCCTGTTGAACACACACAGTTGTATTACAAATCAGTATCATCTCTTAAGAGAGCAAGTTTATATTAATATATTTGATATTAAAATATTTCACTTGAAAATATTCTTTAATTATCGTTTTGCCAGTCTCGATAGACAATATTTTTTCATAACAATATTACAAATGACAAAATGATTTCTGGAATTCATGGTGTTGCATGCATAGAATGCTCGAATTTCTTCTATATCTACAATATTAACAAATGCATTTTGTAAATGGATATGCTGTTTTAAACATCTCCAGTAGATCATTCAATAAATAACATAAATGTAATAACAGGCCTGAAAGTCAAGGCAGCGGTGGAATTCCTTCTCAGTTCTCTCCTGTAGAAGTGTTCTCTTCTGGTTAGAGTAAACCAGCAAAATAGTAAGCTGCAGATTTTCTTCTGGTTTTAGAAGGCTTACACATAGTTTAGCCTCCGAGCCTGATCTTATAACACCTGGAAATGTCACCATGAAAATTCTGCAAAGAGAAAGTGCATGCACTTAATAACCCCCTTTTTAATGTGTGAAGCTAATGATAGTTATTCTGAGATAAGAGCATGCATACAAACACACATGAAAGGATATACAAATGAAGACAGATTATATTTAACAAAAAAAAGGTTCTAACACTTACGGCCTAGAGGTTCCTTGATAGACAGAAATCAGTAAAACACATGTTATTAATATTACTCTTTTAAGTAACACAATAAAAAAAGCCATCATGAAGGGATGTGAAGAGCAAGAAGTGTTTACAAATGTCTAAACCTTTTACAAAAAGGTAAATGTTTATTTGACTTTTCACTTGACCTCAGTGATGATTAACTGTAGGTTACTCACGTAACCCAGGTTCTCTGAGAACATGAGTGAGGTGTCTCACTATGCGAATCGCCTCGGACGTGACCAATCCTGGAAGCACCAATTACACCACATCTGTCAGTTGACAGACCAATCACGAAAGTGATGTGGGAGTCCCGCCTCCCCAATATATATCACTGCATAACGGTCCCTACCTCATTCTCAGCATATCTCTTCCCTGTGCTTGGAGGGAAGTGTGGTAAAACACCTCACTCATGTTATCAGAGAAAAGGAGTTACATGAGTAACCTAAAGTTCTCTTTCAAAAATTCATTCGGTATCTCACTATGGGATATAGACAACTCTCGTATTGCAGATTTGCTGTCTGAAGCAGGCATGTCAACCAACTCAGTGTGATGATGTGTGATAATATAAGAATGCAAGCTCTCCACTATTAACAGAATAGAATGGAGACATGTGAAAAATAAAGCATCTGTATGAGTGTTTTTTTTTTTTTTTTTACACACTTAGGACGGAATGGGCCAACGATGGCTCTATAACATCCAGCCTATAAAATCTGACAAAAGCGTGTCACCGCTGCACAAATGTCTTGAATTGAAACGCCCTTAAACAACATCCACGAGGTGGCCAAACCTTGGGTACTATGAGCCCTCAGCCCCTCTGGAGAACAAAGAACCATGCTATTATAACCCAATATGATAGCTCACACTACCCAGTGGGACAGGCGCTGATGAAAAATAGGTTTACCCCTATGAGAATCAGCCCACGAGACAAATAGCAGATTACTTTTCCGCAGCGCTTTCGTTCTGTTTCATCGCAATGCAACACACGGACAGGGCACAAACAATGAAGCCACTCTTCTTCTGGCACGAATGCTGGACTAGTTTTGAGAGACACTCTCGAGTAATCCATAGCGAATTGCATACAGGAGTTATGAACCGACAAAGCATGAAGTTCAATAACCCGTTTTGCGGTTGAAAGAGCCAGTAATAATGCGGTCTTTAGCAAAAGGAGCTTCAGATCGCTGCTGTCTATAGGTTCGAAAGGTGTACGAGATGAAACATTAAGGACCACAGACAGGTCCCACGGCGGAATCAGTGGTTTTCACACCCTGTTCAAACGCTGTGCACCCCTCATAAACCTGCAAACAAGCGGGTGTCGACCCATAGTGTTATTGTCAATCCCCACATGACACGCAGAAATCGCCATGAGATACACCTTAACGGTTGAAAAAGCTCTGCCTTTATCCAAAAGTTCTTGCAGAAAACACAACACATCTGTGACAGGATAGAGAAAAGGAACAATGTGCTTATGTGCGCACCACTGCTTGAAAACATTCCATTTCCTATCGTAAGCAGAGAGCGTCGAGGCAGCCCTCGTGTTCTGAATTGTCTCGATCACCCTCTGAGGCAACCCAGTATAATTTAAGTTTAACCTCTCATGGGCCAAGCCTAAAGAGCAACTTTGTCTGAGGCGGTGTTGGATGAGAGGAGGTCTCTGCACAGCAGGAGAGGCCAGGACTGGTCGACTAAGACCTGCATTATCTCCATCAGCCACAATTTCTCATTTCGGGGCAATCAGTATGACTGAGTCACACACATAGGCGCTCCATCTCTCGCTAGCATGAAGAATAGAGGACAGTGAGTGTTTTCGTGTGATGCGAAGAGATCTAGGGCCACACGGCCGAATCTCTTCCACAACTGGCCCACTACCTGAGGGTTGGAGTGTCCATTCTTCGTACTGAGGATTCCCCCTGGAAAGGAGATCTGCCCCCATATTTATTATTCCCGGGACGTGCATTGCCTGTAATGAATGAAAGTGTTTCCTGCCCCACACAATGAGTTTCTTTGCCAGACTGGGAAGCTGAGGAGAGCATGTGCCCCCTCGGCGATTTTTATATGCTACCGTGGTTGTGTTGTCTAATCTGATTAAAACATGGTGGTTCCGCAGAAACTGCACAAAATGTTTCAAAGCTAAAAACACTGTTAACGGTTCCAGGTAATTTATGTGCGCGCTCTGCAGCGAGACGGGCCATTTCCCTTTCGCTAGCACACACCACCCCTACCTGAGAGCGATCTATCCATCGTTACCATCTTCCTCATGGAAACTGCACCCAGCAGAGTCCCGAATTTGAGGAATGATCGGTTTCTCCAGTAACCGAGAGCACGCATGCAAAGTGCTGACACCCTCACTTTGCGGTTGAGGTGGCGTTTTGGACATAAGTGTTGTGCTGCTGTCCGATTCTGAAACTCTCTCATTCGCAACAGTCCCAAAGGAATAACTGAGACTGTTGAGGCCATCAGCCCCAGAAGACGTAAACACAGTCTGAATGGGACTTTGTTCCCTTTTTGAAAAAGGGATAGACAGCTGCAAATTGACTTGATGCACTCCTCTGACAGAAACGCTTGAAACTGATGTAACGCGCACTGAGTAGCGCTCGGTTCACAATTACTAAGTTACTATGTGACCACAACTGTGGTACAGTGGTAACTACGTGGGATTGCTTGGACCAGAAATCAGAAGACAAGGGTCGACTCACTAGAGCAAAAGGCAGCAGAAGGACATCAAAGTAAAACAAAATAACTACTAGGACTACTTGGGATGCGCACGTCCTGATTTTGCCGAGTTAGATGTGTTCCTAGGTCAACATATTTTGTTGACTCTGGAATAACATTTTAATCCAAAAATGTAGTCTTGACCATATCCCTACACCTAAGCCTAACCTTAACCATTAGTAATCCCTAAAATGATAGATGAATGACACTGATGTGCAAGCACCAAACTCTGATTGTAAGCCTAAACTTCACAAAAATTATAATCTGGTTATACAAAGATGTTGATCCAGAAATATATTGCACTTGGTAAAATCAGGTTCTGCACTGGGATGTGGTTAATCAAAGAAAAGGTAAGTGTATTCTTCTGGGTCACCGTGATTTTGCCAATTAAAACATGTTCCTGGATCAACATCTTTTGTTAATCCTGGATCAACATTATTCTTAAAAAATATAGACCTAACCCTGTCCCTACCCCTAAACCTAACCTTACCCATAATTTATCCCTAAAATCAGAGGGAAATGATGGTTGAAGAAACAAGGATGTAAAAGCATGTAACTCAGGTTGTAAGGCTAAAATTGGCATTTACTGTAAACTTATTCCTCAATTCTGATTGGTTGATTGGAATGTTGATCCAGGATCAACATGGATGTTGATCCAGGAACATGTTGCACTTGGTGAAATCACGTTCACCATTGTTCTGAGTGTTTTGTTTCTTTGAATAAATTGTGATCCTTTTGAAATTAAAATAATAATAGAAACAACAAAACCCAAATAAGTAACAATAAAATAACAATAGTTCAAAACAAAAACACAAAGATATTAGAGTTCAAATCTAGTTCAATGTATCAAAATCAGTTTCCAAATGTCAACATCAATTTCTGAAATTCAACCTCAGTTTCTCAATTTCAATGTCTGTTTCTCAAATTCAAATTCAAACTCAGATTCTTAATTTCAATATCAGTTTCTCAATTTCAAGTTCAGAAAACAGATTTAAAATCAGAATCTTAATCCAAATGTTAATGAACAGTAATGTTCATCAATAAAAGAAACAGGTTAGTCCATGGGATAAAAAAAAATGATATCCAGGGAAATCCAGGTAAACTTGAAAAAATAAAAATGTTTGCAGTTCTGTCCTACCCGATCAGAAAAAAAAGACTTTTTACTCTGTTTCCAGGTATGAAACGATGGAATGGCTCGCCAGTCCAAACCAGGAATAAGAATCCACAGCCCGGATAGAATTCAGGATCACAGCAGCAATTTTTCAGACATTCAAAGAAGATAGGAAACAAAACAAAGAAAAAACAAGGCCTTGCAAAAACAAAGCCAAAAACAATCATCAGTAACTTTTCAAATGACTAAAGCATCTACTTCAATTAGGGGTCGCCTGATATGTTTTTACACTGATTATTACAGATCAAGTAGACTGATAACCGATATTTTGAACCGATATACTGTATATGTCTGGTGTAAAAATGGCAAATTAATGTCAAAATTAAGAATAACAAAGGCTCTGACAAAAACAGCCTTCTCTGGTGTTGGTTGAGTGTAGTACTCCCACACTACACTTCTTACTCTTGTCTTCCTCTGTGCATCCATCTGCAATAAGGGTAATATAAACAGAGGGCCCTATTTTAAGCGCATGGTGCAGGAGCACTTAGAGCGTGTCCAAATCCACTTTTGCTAGTTTAACGACGAGGAAAAAGGTCGGCGCGCCCGGCACATGGTCTAAAAAGGTTGTCCCTATTCTCTTAATGAGTAAAGGGTGTGTTTTGTGCATAACGTGCAATAAACCAATCAGAGTGTCATCTCCCATTCCCTTTAAGAGCCAGTTGCGCTCGCGACATATCGAATTTGCTATTTAAACGGCAGAATTTGCAAGCGCAAAGACAGAACGCGTCTCCAGAGAGGAAACGGGTCTGCTCGTGCGCGAGCAAATAGGTAGCCTAATTCTAATATATGCAATGACTATCCATTATGACATGTAGGCATTTTTATATTTATGTAGCCTACACAATAATAATCTTTTACATTGTAATCTTTTAATTTTTAATATTTGGCATGTTTGTGTGCTGCTGCGTGTCCCTATACTAACGCACTCTTTAAATAACAAAAAAACTACTGCGCCTTGACTTTAGACCAGGTTTTAGTTGGTCAATGGTGCAGTCTATTTCAGTTGCCTCAAAATAGCAACGCGCCAACAATGCGCCTGAACACACCTCATTTTCAGACCAGCACGCCCATGGGCGCACAAATGGACGCAAATGCATTTGCTATTTAAACAACGTGGATGATACAGCCCTATATGTCTCTGACAGCGCCTGTAGTCCCATTTAGCAACTTGTTAGCAACCTGTCTTTTCAAAGAAATGTA